CTTTTGAAATAATTAAGATAAAACCTCTTTAACTTAAAAACTCAAGAATAAAAGGTATTGTTAATGTATTAGACATAATAAAGATATAGAATTAAAGAGAGTATTAGAGTAGAAATGACTTATATAGAAAAAATTAATTAACTATTTTATTTTAAGAACAAGAAAAACCGCATAACTTTTATATTTAGTATTATAAAAACTGGTTATTGAAAAACATCAAATATAACAGATAAAATTAAACTAAAAAGAGAAATAATTACAATAAAGAAAAAAGAAATGAAATAATTGTTATTTAAAACTTGAAAAGATTATTTCAAGATCATGGAAATTAGTACAATACTAAAAAATGTAAGTAAAGATATTTCTGATAAATCTATTGCTAGTGATTGTATGTTTGGTAAGAGGTATGACTGTACTTTATTTGGTGAACGAGTTACTGTTGAAGAAACTATAAAAGATCAATGGGATGTTAATGATATTCAAAGGATATTTAAAGTACTTTCTTTTGTAAGAGAAAAAGGATGCAATCATATTGTACAACCAATGGGATATACTGTTAAAGATAAATCATTAAATATTTATGGAATTGTTCATCAAAAGTTTGTATGTAATTTAGAAGAGTTTTTATTTCAAAGAGAAAAAACACTTTTTAAGAATATAACACTAACAGTCCCATTGAAATATAATATCGCTATTCAATGCTCAGAGGCATTATATATCTTTCATAACCTTGGTTATGTTCACAAAAGAATTGAATTAAAATCATTTTTTATCTTGATAAAAATATGAATGTATTTCTTGGTGATTATTATTTATCAACAAATACAAATTATCCTTCAATGAATGGTCATAATATTGGAAAAGAAGGAGATGTATTTGGAATGGCATTTATTGTTTACCAATTATTTAATGAAACACAATGTGATATTAATGCTATTAATTTACCAATACTTCCAAGATTTTATATGAAACAAGAATTATGTGGTCTTCATGGAGAAGAAAAGAAAATAAAGAGAGAACAAATTGTTAAAGAAGATGTATATGCTAAATTAATTTGTAATATTTCTCATCAATTAGAAAATTTATTATTAGATACATGGAGTGCTTGTAATCTTGATAGATTAACAGCAAATGAATTTTTAAATAGAATCAATGATTGTTCTCTTGTAACTGAATGTGGTGGATTTTGGGATGCTGATTTTTGGGTGCATTGTACTAGAGAAAATGGATGTCTTCCAGAAAAAGTAATGAACTTTGAAAATATGGCATCTAATATAGCGACATGTGTAGAAATACCATTATCATCAGTTAATCAATCAAGTCAAATCATATCAAAAAACAATGAGATAACATCAGATGCATTTGGATACTTTATTAGTAATTTTGGTAAATTTTATATAGACAATAACATTATGTCTGATCTTATTCAATTTGCAAGTTCTGATTATTATTTTGATATTTCAAAAGAAGAGGCACAAACATATTTAAATAATAAAGTAGATCTCACTTTCTTGATTCGACCAAGTAAAACAAATCCTAAATTCCCTTTTACTATTTCTAAGAGAGTTAAAAGTAAAACTGTCCATACAAGAATTGAACGTAAAGATAATGCGTTTTATTGTACTATGAGTGGTAAAGAATATAAAGCTAAAAGTATTCCAAGTTTAGTTGATATGTTAAGAGGTGATGGTTTAATTAAAGAGCCATGTTCAAAAGAACTTAATGATGATAATTATTAATTAAATCAATACAGTATTAAAAAATTAATAGATATTTTTTCAAAGTTTTAACTTTTTAAAAAGAAAGAAGTAATAAAATAATTTAGTTATCAAATAAGTATTCTGTCAAATAATTTTTCTTTACAATATAAAGCCCTTGAAAGAATTGATGTAAAAGAATATATAATTCTCATATAGAATCATTGGGATCCTATAAATAATTCATTTAATTAATAGAACTTTGAAAATGAAAAAATTCTTTTAAGAGTTTAAATACAAATATATTAAATATTAAAATAAGAAGTTATTTGATTGAAATCTGACATAAAATTGTAATTTTCCCATTGTTCCCAATTAGTAAATTTTAATAAAAGAGAACTAAATTCTTCTGTTAATATTTTACTAATTTTAAATGCTTCTGATTGAAGTTCATTTATTGTTATAATAAAATATGATTTCCAATCAATCAACTTATATTTTAAATCCCACAAATTCATTACTTTTTTATAAATCCTTCCAAATTTAAGAGCATTCATTAATTCATCTGTTCTACCATTATATTTTTTATCAATAATTCTTTTTACTTGATTTAATACAGTTTCCATTTCTTCTTTACTACACTGACTTGATGGAATAGGAATAAATTCATTTCCAATTAACCCAATAAAAGAATGTAATATATCTGGACTAGAACTAATTTCATTTAAATTAAATCCCATTATAAATGCTTGATCCAATAATTCTTTGGTTACTGTTGTTTGAGATGAAGAAAATTGAAGTGATGATTTAATACTTTTACAGTTAGTGTTTTGTTCAAACAAAGAAGGAAGTGATCCAGTTAATGGTTTTTGAATAAAAGAACTAATCAAAGGATGTGCTGAACCATTAATATTAAGTGGTTGAACTGGAAGTTTTAATTTTTGTTTATCTGAAGAGATGGTTAAAAGATTTGGTAGTGATGCAGAAATTGATGGGGCTGAAGGTGCAAATCCTCCAGAAGGAATTCCAGATTTTATTGTTGAAGAAGACTTTTTTAATGATAAAAATCCATTTGTACAACTTTTATATAAAGTGTTTTTACAAGAATTTTTTAATGAAGGGTTTGGGATGCGGTCTATAAGAGATAATAGAGGTGATTGTCTTAGTGAAACTTCTTTAGGTATTTGTTTTTTAATGTTATGAATTGGTAGAATTGGAGGTTCAACTAGGTATTGGCCTGTTAATTTTAAATCATTCATTCGAAGAAGAATTGTATTAAAGTCTGTTATGAGAGAACTTTCTACCCATTCAATTAATTTATTTTTCATTAAAATTTGAACAACGTATTTAGTCTTATGAACAAATCCAATTCTAATAATTTTAATAAACTCAGTATCTAAAAACCCTTCAATCATATTATCTTCGTCTTTTGCTTGATGAGTAATAACAATAATTTGTTCTTTTCTCTTTTTTAATGGAGTAGTTTTATAAATTATCACTTCATTTAATACAATCCGGGGTGATATCAAGACGTTTTTGTTCATACTACGAATATAGTGCCATTAGAACTTCACATTTTTCTTATGAGGAATAAATCCGTTTTACTTTTAGCAAAAGAATATTCATTTTTTATTAATTAAAACTAAAAAAAAAATAATTGAAAAAACAAAAAATATGGAATTTATGTTTTACATTTGGAGAATACTTAAATGATTTTCTATGATATTAATAATTTCGTTTAAATCTTCAAAATCATTTCTTGATGCAATTCGTATTAAAGAAGAAACTAATCCATTTCCTTTTGTTTGTGCTATGTCATAAGCTGTTTCATTTTTTTTATTTGTTATTGTATAATCACATTTAAATCTTATAAGAACAACAGCAATTTCTATAATACCTTCTTTTGCAGTAAGATGTAATGCAGTATTACCTTCTTCATCCACTTCATTAAGGGTATATCCATTTACTATTAAATAACAAGCGATACTGATTCTTCTCTTTTTGATAGCACTTAGTAACAATTTACTTCCATACAAATCACTAATAACAACATGTGCCAATGCACGAGCAATATCCTCAATTGAGTTATTTTCTATTCCGTTCAAGCACACTTCAGTCCAATTTTCATCACTTGGAATAATAAATTGTTTTCTAATATATTTTCTTTTAATGATACATGCCCGTTCCTCAAGAGAAGAATCTGGTGAAATCATATAATGTTGTTGATAAATTTTATTAACTTTTTCGTTTCCTAATCTATCTAATATTCTTACAACATAATCTTCAATATTGTCCAATGTTGTACTTTTAACTCTACTATATGCCACTCCCAAACTACGATGAATTGCACTACATTTGATACAAAAAACTATTCCAAGATTTACTGAGATCCATTGAGGATTTTCACATCCACATTCAGCACAAAATCTATTTTCTTTTCGTTTAAGTATTTTAGACAATAACGGATGTATTACTCTATGAGATAGCGTTGTTCCATTTAATATATTTTCTTTTTGTTTTTCAATTAATTCTTGCCACTCTAAAGCCTCTTCTTTTGAAGATGTAAATAAAATAAATTTACCATTTATTCCATTACATTCTAATGTATTTTCATTTGCTTTAAAATTAGTAGTAATAATATTAATTCTATCTTTTTCTTCCACTTGACCATTATGACGAATTAGTCCAATAAGAAAATCTTTGTTAAATATATAATATAATTTTTTATCATGAATAGATTGTTCTTTTCTAAAAAGAAATGTTCCAAATGATTGTGGATTAGGAATAGTATCTTTTACATTAACCATATTTAGTCTAAAAGTATTTGTTTGTATAATTAAAGAATTAACTTTTGGTGTTTGAGTTTCTTCATTAAAATGACGTTTAGCAGTATTAGTAATATATTTTGAATATACATTAAATAAATGAACAATATTTTCTTCTGTCATAAGAGTCATTTGTTGAATTTGTTTATTAAGTTCAATTCCCATTGTGATAATTGAATTTTGTAAATTCTTTTTATGTTCAATAAGTTCAAATTGATTATATTTTGGATATTGTTTAATGCTTTTATTTAATGAATTAAAAAATTCTTTTTCATTATTTTTGAATGTTTCTTTATTAATTTTTCTTTGTTTCTGTAATTTTGATAACATTTCATTAATACCTTGATTCCAAGTTTTTAATTCATTTACTATATATATCTGACATTCAAAATGTTCTTTAAAAGAATTATAAAGTGAATGAATTTCTTCATAAATAGGAGTAACTTGTGCAATCTTTTCTAATTCAGAGATAAATGAAATCCATTGATTAAAATAATCTATCTGTTAGGTATTAAATGAGTTAAATAAAATAAAAACAAACCATCACCACATTGTATAATCATTGGTATTTTTGATAATATTTTTTCCCAATGAGAATCAAATAAATCAATTTGTTTATTTGTTTGTTTAATTTGAATAATATTATAAGGATTAAATGGATCAAAAGGTTTATCAGTAAGGTCGATGAGAACAGGAAGAGACATATCAATTTACCATTCAAAGTGAATTTTCGTCTTTCTTTTCGTATATTTTTTTATATTTTTGTTGTAAGTCACAAAAAAGAAACTAAAAAAGAACTTAAAATTGATTTAATTAGTTAAATTTATTTTCTTTTATGAAGGTTCATGTTTTTGGAGGTGGAAAAAGTGTAGGAAGTAGTTGTGTTGTTGTTGAAGGAAAAGAAGATGCTATATTATTTGATTGTGGATATAACCCAGTAAGACCAGATGTTGGAATTGATTTTTCACGAATGAATGCAATATCAAGTAAGATACGAGCGATATGTATTACTCATTTTCATGTTGACCACGTTGGTATGTTACCTTGGTTAACAAAATTTATGGACGTTCCAATTTATCTTTCAGAACCTACACAAGCATTGTTGTCATTGATAATAAAAGATATCCATAGTGGAAATAATTTGTTTTGCCAAGCTGATTTTGATAAATGTATTTCACAATGCAAACCAATTGATCCTACTATGACTAAACGAATAACACAAAACTTATCAATAAGATGTATTTATGCTGGACATGCTTTAGGTGCTGTGATGTATGAAATATTATTGGATGGTAAAAGAATTGTATATTCAGGTGATTTTGATGTTTCTCCTTCTTTTCTTTTAAAGGGAGCACAAATTACATCACACGCAATAGACTATTTGATTACTGAATCAACTTGTATTAATGAACAACATAAACGAAGATATGAATTATATCATTATGCTGATTGTTTATTATCTGCTGCACGTTCAGGAGGTTCTGTACAAATTGTTGTTAATGGAATTGGAAGAGGACAAGAGGTGATGGGAATAGTATTAAGTATTGTTCGTAGGTGTCATTTAACAATGCCATTATGTTGTTCAGGTGGAATGTTAACAAAAATAGCAAATGAATATAAAAGATGGAAAAATTGGTTGAGGGATGATGTACATGAACTTGTTGATAATTTCAGTAAATATCAAATGCTTTCAGCACAGACTAACTATATTGCTATCACAACTCCAGCAACATTAACTAAAGGTCATTCTCTTGAAGTTTTTGAGAAGATTAAAAATGACCCCAAAAGCTTTGTAATTCTTCCTTCATATGTTTCCTCAAATCCAAAAACACTCAAAGAAACTGGTTATCAATGTAAAATTATTAGAACAGAAGACAATAACCATTCAGACGGATTTGGTCTTCAAGAGGCTATACGTGCTTTACAACCTAAAGAAGTGTTTCTAGTTCATGGAGATCCACTTAAAATGCAAAAAAGCCAAATATTCTTTCAAAAATTATTTAATCTTCCTGTTCATATGCCAAATAATAATGAAGCATTAATCATAAATGATTCTTCTCATAAAAAAAAGAAAAAATCTTCAAAAAAGAAAAAAGTAAATAAATCTAAACCTCCACGTTTACCACCAACTCTTATAGAAGATCATTCTAAACCTAAAGAAGTTAAAAAATTACTTCCATTTGAAGATGATGTATGATAATATAATTGGTTGATTATTTCTTTATTTTAATTTAAAATATATAAAAAATAACAAAAATTTAAATTAACAAGCTTGTTCCTTCATCATCATCATCAAATATATTCACATTTTTAGATGGAACTACTCCTGTTGATGAAGCAGGGCGTTGTAACATTTGTTGTTGTTGAGCAACTCTATGAGGTACTGGTCTAACAACCCCATGTTGGGTTGGACATATTTCAATACGAATAGGTTCTTTTCCTCCAGCTGGTGAATGTCCGATTATATGAGGAGATGGACTTGGTTGATACATCTTTGTATCTCCAATTGATCCAACAAAATCTATATTTGACGATGAACGAGAAACAGAACGAGATAATGATTCTCTAGAATCTTCTCCATTGTTAATTGAAATTAATGGTCTATTAATAAATTGGCGTATACGTTGATTATTAGAAACTACATCTCCTTGGAATGTTACATTGAATTTTTCAATTTCTTCTTCAAGTTCTGAATCTGATTCATGAACACGTAATAAAGTAATTCTTCTTGTAAGAAATTTTTGTAATGGTCCTGTTGGCATAAAAACTAATCGAGGAATATTAATAAATTTTTCTTTAACATCTTTAGTAGAAAGAATAGTAAAATACTTATGTCTAACACGATCTACATTTTTACAAACTTCAACAAATCTTTCAACTTGATTAATTTTTAATTCTAATAAAATATTTGCTAATGCAGATGAATAAAAATTAATTTTATAAAACGCAATTGTAAGTTCTAATAATAAAATATCAGCTACATGAAACCCAATTCCGTTTGCACAAAAATCAGCTTCTTCAAGATTTTTAGAAATACCAATTAATAATTCTAAAATGGTAAAAGCAAGATCTATATTTTCAGGTTCTTTAATATCTGGAACATCATTCTCAGCAGAGAGAAGAATTTTATAAGTATTAAAAAGTATTATCTTTGTTTCAATATGTGAAGCAAATACTTGTGTTGTTTTACAATGATTCTTTGGAATATTATTTGTTATTAAATGAAGTGAATGTGAAAATTGTGATAAAATAAATCCATCAGCATCAACATCCATAAGACGATACACTATACATAATAATCGAATATATCTCTTTTCATCTAAATTCTTTTCAAAGAGTTTCATAAGGTAATGAACAATTATTCTTTTAGACATTTCATCACTCATCATTTTAATTAATTCAACAACTTTACTCTCAGGTGGAGCAATATCTTTTGATCTAATAACTTTATTTAATAACTTTTGTTCTTTGGTTTCAGTGAATCCACGAATAGCACCTAATAGTGACATATTATATTAAATTGAATTTTAAGATATTTTGTCTATCTCCTTTCATTTTTTAAGGGTTTGTTAACAAGCTTTTATAATCTCCTTATAGACTCATTCTTTTTCTTTGTTTCTTTCCGACAAGTAAAAATCCCTTAAATACCTATTGGAATTTTCATTGAAATCTTTCATGTACTTGATCCCATTTTATTGGGATACTTTCGCTTATTTAATCTTTTTAACAAAACTTTTAACCCTAATTTAGGGTTTATTCTTTATTCACCAATTTTCTATATTACAAAGAGATTCTTCTTCTTTGTTTTTTTCATAATTCCTAACAATGAAAATTCCAAGTAGTGTAGTTTTCTGATATTAGTCTTTAATAAGTTCTTTCATTGTATTTCAAATGAGATGAAGAATAACTTTTTTTACTTGACTTTGACGTCAGTAAAACTATTTTTAATAGTGTTGTTCTTTTACAATAAAAAACATTAAAAATAATAGAAATAAATTCATCTAACTTTACTAGAGCCCACGTACTCCTCTCTAAAAAGTATTATACTAATTTTTCCTCTTTTTTTAGTGTCTTTTGCTTTATAAACATATTTATTACTATAATTTATTTTTCTTAAGACATTCCCTGTAACATATTAAATCTTCCTTATTCTGGAAGTATTTTTTGATATAAGTCATCTAATAGTTAATAAAAATATAGTAAATTGAAGGAATCTTTAGGAATTCAATAAAGTAAATCTTAAAATTAATTTAATGAAATACAACAAAATAAGTGTTCTAATTGCTTTAGTGATTTATAAGAATAAATAACTCATATAGACAATCACCAATTACATTTATTAATTTTCATTATTGTAAAATACTTTATGAATACTTTCTTTTATTATCATAAATAACATAAATTTATTTCTTACTATTTTTGTTAAATATTGTAAATAAACTAAACAATTTGAACTATACTTTAAAAAGGTTTTGATTATAATAATTAAGGTAAGTTATTTTAATATGCATTAACTATTGGTATAACATTATCCTATCCTTCTTTGTGAATAATAATACCTTTTAATGAAAATTATAAAACTTTATTTTTTTAAAAACTTTTTCATTATTAGTTAGCTTGAATGATTTAGTTAAATTAAAAAATTATTTTCTATTAATCTAAACTAATTATGATAGACTCAACAAATTAAATTTACTTACTAAACTATTGAGTAAGTGACTAATTAAAGAAAGAAGAAAAAACATTTTTTTATTCTAACTTTAACATATAAACCTTTTTTCTATCTTCAAGTGATAAAAAATACATTGTACATGTTTCTTCATTAACTTGTGATACTCTCACCAATAAAAATATTTAAAAGGAAACTTTATAAAGTAAAGGAATTATATGGCATAATTGAAAATTAATTAAAAGAGAGTTTTGATCAACCTACCACCAAGCACTAACTTTTAAGTAGTTTTTATTTTATAACACACTCACCAATTTCTTATTACAATTAGTAACCAACTCTATCGTAATACAAAATAATACTTATACTTGGAAATATTTTCAAAAAAGAGTTTATCTTTTAAGTATCTTTCAATATAAAAAGAACTTGAAAAATTAACTAAAAACAAACTAATAAATTAAGGTCTCTATTCATTCCTATGAGCAAATGGTCTTCTTATGTAATGGGTTGAGGCTTTTGGAAGTGGTTTGTTTCTTATAAGAACAGTATCATCAAATACTTTTGTGTGCTGAGGTTTTCTGGCTCTTGTAATAGGTAACTGATGTGGTTCAACAAATAAACTTTTAATAGAGTCAATAGCTTTATCGTAATCCTCTTCTGAATCATATTTGCATCTATTATATTTCATATCAGTGAACAAAAACCTCATTCCTAGAACAGCCCAGTCCATTGATTCTTGTGTGTTTAAAGGGATATGATATTTTGGTGGGTCTGGATCAAACAAATATCTTAAACATGGAAGTGTATCTTCATAAATTTTGTTTCGGACAATAGTGCATTCAACAGAATTATCTTTAAAACTGAATATATTTCCTAATGACTTCATTGACTTGGTGAGACCTTCTAAGCTTTTCCAAATTGAATTCCAAAATGAGTTTTTATTTTGTTGCATGATATAAGGTGTTTTTTATTTTTGTGTTTATTCCTTTTCAGACTTTTTCTTTTCATTCTAAGATAGTAAAACAATCAAAGGAAATGATAATAATGTTTTGTTTCCTAATTAAATTTTTTAAATAAATTATTTTTTTTTCTGAAGAAGGGGAAAAAAAGAAAAATCAAAAACTAAAACATCAATAAAAATTGAAAAGTTAAAAAAAAGATGAAGTTTATAGAAAAAAATACTTAAAGTTCAAACAAAGAAAAGAATGAACATTATAACTCAACCTACTAAGATGGAGGAAATTCAAGGACTAAGTGAAGAAAAAATGCTCAGAATTAAGAGGATTGAATCTAAACAAGTTTCTTTACAAGAATTATATTCATGGCTTATGGAACCAATAAACGTCATTTCTACTAACGAGCTTAAGTATTTTGACACAGTTTTAAATACATTTGTTGAACACCCAGAAGGAGAGATATTAAAATTAATCAATCATATTTTAAATGAATTATACAAAAAACCACCTACAGTGTCATTGACATCTGAGTTTATGTCAATAGCTGCTACAACAACTGACTTATTTATTCAATTTGTTGGAGAAAATAAAGGTGAATTAACACATGTATTAGATACAATGATTCATGCCACTTCAAAATTTCTCCGTGACTCATTTATTGAATCATTACAAACATTATTTTCTAAGGGGGTTACTGAAACTACCGTATTTATTGAACACTATTTTATAAGTAACTTTAAAAATGCAATTGTTCAACAAATTGTTCCAAGTCTTCCTAACAACTCATTAACGTTAGGAAAAGAATATTCTGATATTGCTAAAACATTGATAGTTAACAATTTATCAAATGAATTTATTCCAATGTCATTAATTGATTTTTATGGAGAGCATTGTGAAAATGTTGATGAAGAATTTATTAGTAAAATTAATGATGCATTATTTTCAGTTCCATCTCCTGAACATATGGAGTTACCAATTGTACAAAGTGATTCAGTAAGAGCTGCTTTAATGAAATTATTACAAAAAATATTTTTAAAAGAATGTGCTGCACCGGAATTAATTAAAATATGCATTAATCATATTAAAGATATTGAAATGAAACGAGTAAATGGAGCAACATTTAAGAAACAACCGTTTGTTGGATTAGAAAATTTAGGGTGTACATGTTATATTAATTCATTAACACAACAATTATACATGAATCCATATTTTAGAAATAGTATTATGAATGTAAAAGCAACAGATGATACCCCTTATATTAAAATATATCAAAAACTATTTACTGAATTACATGAAACAAAAGTAAGATATATAAATACAGAAGAATATGTTTCTTCATTAAAAGGAGAAGATGGAAAAGAATTAAATCCATATGTTCAAATGGATACTCATGAATTTTTATCATCAACATTAGATACTATTGAAAAAGAACTTAAAAGTATTGAAGGACAAGAAAATATTATTGACAAATGTTTTTCAGGAACATTGGTTAATCAAATTGTTTCAAAAGAATGTGAACACATTAGTGAACATGAAGAAAAAACAATTTGTGAACAAATGAATATTGTTGTTTTTGGAGAAAAGAATAAAACAAGTTTAGCTGAAAGTTTACAATCACTTGTTAATGGGGATGAGTTAACTGGAGAAAATAAATATTTTTGTGAAAAATGTCAAAAAAAAGTTGATGCCATTAGAAGAACTTGTATTAAAACACCACCAAATACTTTAATTCTTCATTTAAAACGATTTGAATTTGATTATGAAACATTACAAAGAATTAAAATTAATGATAGATATGAATTTCCAAGAGAGTTAGATTTATATCCATATTGTATTGAACATATTAATCATCCAGAGAAAAAAGATGAAAATGGAGAATATAAATTTAAATTAGTTGGAGTTTTAGTTCATCTTGGAACATTAGATAGTGGACATTATTATTCTTATATTAAAGACCAAGAAACTGGAGATGAATGGTTTTCATTTAATGATGATTTAATTGATAAATTTGATATAAACACATTAGAAGAATCATGTTTTGGAGGTGGACAATATAGTAAACATTATTCTGCATATATTTTATTTTATCAAAAAGAAAAACCAATAATGGACATCCCACCTGTAAAATATCTTGATGATGTTAAAAACGATGTTATTAAAAACAATTTAAATCTTATAAGTAATTCTGTTATATTATCTAATACTGGAATGTCTGATTATTTAATTCAACAAATGCAATATGTTAATGGAGAAGAATTAACTGAATTTAAAGATACTACTGTTCTTTCAAACAAAATGGAAGAAGAGTCTAATAAACAACAAGAAAGAGTTGATAAACTTAAGAAAATGGATGGAGAAAGAAAATATATAGATGAAAGTCTTATCAAAGACTTAGCAAAAACTTGTATACATTATCAATTAACACATGAAACAATGTTATATGGGTATTCAAGAACTGATCTATTTCAAAATGAATTAGTAACATTATTATCTAAACATCAAAGTATTATCGATGAAATATTAACCGAAGAAATTACTGGAGAAACCGATGATGATTTATTACAAAAAACAAAAATGTATATTACTAGTGTTAATGCATCATTAACAACAATTAATTTCTTTGTCCGTATGTTTGCAAATGGAAATAAAGACCTTTTAACAAAATATGCTACTTTATTAATTAAATTTTTTTCTAAGTCTCAAAGAGTTGGATCTTCCTTTCGCTGTTTATGTCACTACATTAGGTTGTTTTGTGAAAACCCATTGTGCAGTGACATATTTACAAAACAAATTGCTAGTGGTGTTGGTTTTATCATGTGTTATACTACTCTTAGCGTTTATTCTAGTCAAGTAAAAAAATTACCTGATTATAGTAATTTGTATATTCTTTTTATGAAGTCATTAGCACAAAATAGTCAAACACTAAATAAAACTATACAAAACCAAGTTACTTCTATTAAATTTAAAAAAGAAACATTAAATTGGATTGAAAAATGTAAAGTTTCAGTTGATGATTTACCATTGGCTAATGCACTAACTGAACTTATTATTAAAACAGAACCAAATATTAGAGAATCTATTATCAATTTTGTTAAAGATATTCAAGATTCACAAAATCCATTAGAACCAGTTTTATCAATGACATATAGTGAATTAACTAAGTATATTAAATTTAGTAATGAAACTGAAGTTCAACTTTTTTATAATTGTCTTATTAACGAAGTACATGGCTATCACTTCCCTTCAGAAAATATTTGTATTTCAAATATTATTAAAAATTCAATTCTTGTTAATTTACATGTCAAATCAACTGTACGACAAATATTAATTCAATTTATTCAAAATAATGAAAAGGAAGTATATAGGTGTATTTTATATTATTATGAATTATTCCAACAATCTCTTAATGAATTATATTTATATATATTAGATGATTATTATATTCAATTATGGCAATTATTAATTATTCCAAAACTCCTTTTAGAACCAAATTTATTCAAATTCTTATACTTTAATAAAAAAAATTATTGTTCAAAATTGCGTTATAGTGTTCTTACTCTTGATAGTGCATTAAGCTCTACTCAATATATAGAAGAAGATTTAATAAAAAATTTAATTAATTTATATCAAATTATTTTATCATTAAATAATACACCAAAACCTGATTACAACTTACACTCATTATCTATTCTTACTTATCATTTAGCTCAAAAACGACCAGATTTATTTAATATTTCTATTTTATTAAAATATTCATATCCAAATTATATTGAAACACAAATAGAAAATAAGAAAATTAATAAAGAAATTTATCAAAATCAATCAGAAATTTTAAAATATGTTATTACCTATATTTGTGAACATAAACGAGAAGACCTTATTAAAGTTATAAAAGATAAATCATTTGATTCATTAATGAATGAATTACTAACTAATTCAACATATGATGATGAAAGTACAAATTATTTAATTAATATGATATTTTCTAATAATGAAGAAGAAGTATTATTTGATTTTATTGAACATTTTACTATTGCATCATTAGTGCCTATAAAAGAACGTGTTGAACTGATGGTCAATTTAATATTTAAAGATGATGAAAGTATTAAACGATTTGGTAATAAACATTCTATCAACAAATTAATTTTATTATGTAGTCAAAAAGTTTGTATGCCACAAATCCTTAAAATACTTATTCCTTATTTACCAATTCAAAAAGAATCTTTAAGTATTTGTAGAGATATATTAGATAAATTTACTAATCCAAATAAAGAAAACATTCATATAATCAAAAGTTTACTCATTAAAATTAATAATATTCTTGAAACAGTTGATAAAAATACAAATTCGATTACGTACTTTACTGCTTTTATTACTAGTACAATTATTAAAGTATCTAAAACCGAAAAGTTTAAGGAAATTGAAGAAGAAGTATTTAAACTATTAACAAATTTTGAAAATAAAGATGGAAACTTCCAACAACTAGTTGCTTTATTACTCATTTCAGTATCCTTTATTAAAGAAGACTTTTTAAAAGTACTTCATTTCTTATTAGTTAAAAAGAAATTACCAACTAAACCAGAAAATGCTGAAGCTATTGGTAATATTATTTGTGAAAATCCAGAAAATATTATATTAAGAAATGAAATTGTTGAGTATATCAACTCCAATAATAAATCTATTTAATTCAATAAGAATTATTTTACTTATCTTTGTCCTGTTTTTTTTTTAAACTACAAAAATAGAAATCAAAATTTACAATACATTTATTTATTTAATATAAATTATTAAAAAAATACTATTTTTAATTTAAAAAACTTCAATTAGATTTTTTCTGGTTAAATTAAGAGTTAAATGTAAAACAAATTGAAAAATTAGATATTATCATGAGATATTCCTGATTTATAGAAGTACTTTACTTTTAATGTTAGATAAAATCTGTCTTCTTGTTCTATTTTTAAGAAATAAAATTTCTAAAGTTCTATAATTAGAATAGTAATATTGTGTTCATTGTATATAAAGATATGTTAAAGTAAACTCATTAATTTAATTAATTCTAATGAACAGTGTTCGTGTTACTTTTATTGGACATCCTGCCACTGGAAAAACTGCTCTTATTAAACAATATTTATATCATAAAACCATTGATGAATATCTTCCTACAATACAAGATAGTTATAACAGTTTAATTACTGTTGATGGGTATAAGGTTGAAGTTACTCTTGTTGATACTTCAGGTGAAGAAGAATTTCATTTACTTCGAGATAGTGAACTCACTCGAAGTGATTACCTTGTTTATGTTTATTCAGTAAATGATTTGGAATCATTTGTTAATGCACAAGAGGATATTGCAGAATGTCTTTCTATAATAGCTAATAGTGGAAAAAAAGGATATCCATCAATTCTTATTATTGGTAATAAATGTGATGTTAGTAATCGTGTTATTTCATCAGAGGAAGGTGAGAAATTAACAAATAAAATTAAAAAGATTTGTCCATGTGCCTTCTTTGAAACATCGGCTATAAAAAATCTAAATCTCCAAAGTGTGTTTAACACATTTGTCACTGGCATATCTACATCTACTTCTGAACACAAAATTAATGATACAAAAGAACATGATAAAAAATATAAAAAACCAGTTGCCTTTAAAACTTCTCTTGAAGAATTAGACCATCCCCTTTCACATCAAAATAGATTTATTGCCTTTTTCTCACCAAGAAGAAGAAATGAAAAACGATAACTGAATAACTAAATAAAAATAGTGTTATCCAACTAATGTATTTAATCAATTGAATATTAAAAATATTTTATTTAAGTTATATAAATTTAATCACTTCTTATTCTTTGAGTATTTTTCATATGACCGAACTCCTGATGATACTTGTTCTTTAATTGATGGCCAAACTTCGTCATACTCTTTTTTGCTAACAAAAGACTGCCAACCATATCTAATTGTTATTTATACAAATGGCTTCATTAACAACTTATTAACAAACATTTCATCTATTGAAAAATGACTAAATAAACAACTGTTTTCAATATTTCCATCTTTAATTTCATTTTGTTGTATAATTTGGTCATTAGGCTCAGCAACAATAAGTCCATTAAGTGACTCGTCTCCTTTTGCAGCTTCAGTGTCACTATTTTGGTTTAGGTCCTCAACCTCATCTTCTTCCTTTTGCTGATTTCTAAAAAGATCAAGAACAGACATAAATTTAAAGAATTTTAAGTTTTCTTTGTTTTTTAAATAAATGAAGATACCCTAAAATATTTCATTAAGAAACTCTTCTTATTAACATTAACAACATTTCTAATTACAACAAAAAAGAACTGAATTAATTATTAATGATTTTGGCATAAAGAAGGAATATTATAATAATGGAACTTGTAAGGAATGCAACAATAATACTTTTTGTTCTTTTTGCTGCTGGATTTTCTTTGTAATAAATTTCTAATATATCAGTATTATCACTCATATCAACTTCTTTTAATATTAATCTAACAATAGGTTTCTTATAATATGTCCCAAATGATGGTTGGTTATAAATTGTTTCTTCAATATAAGAACGTTTTGGATAATTAATAGAAGTGATTGTTGCTCCTTCTGGTAAAACAATATCAACTTCTTCATTTGAAACAATACCTTTGAAATCTACTTTTAAAGGAATGGCAAGTCTCTTTTGTTCATTGATTTGTTGGACAGAAACATCTAATGGATAATTGTAATTAACTTCAAATGATGTTTTCCATCCTCCAAGTAGAGGATATCTTGGTGGTAAATATAATGTAGTACTTTTTGGTCTTGAAATTAAATGACCAGTAGTAATAAGACCAGTACTATCACGATATTCTAAATTATACGCATTCACTTCAACTTCCATAGAAAAATCTTTAAGATAAATACCTTCATAATTGAAATCATTTCTGTTAAACTCCTTATTTAACACTGCTCCATTATTTTTCATATCATCTATTTCCATGTGAACATAAATATTATTTTCATTAATATTAACAACTTTTTGTATTCTGTCATATGTCATTGGATGTAGAGAACTTTGGAAATGATACTTTATAAATTTAAATTCAGTAGGTTCATAAGGTCCAAATTTTAATCGACTTGATCCTTCTGTTGTTGGTTTAATAGAAGTAGCAATAGATTGTGTAGACCCAAGATTGAATAATGTAGTGCATTTAATATGATCAGAAAGTGGACACAAATGAGTTGTAAAAAGGAATTTATACTTTTCTGATAAACTACGTTCTTTTGGATAATTTTCAAGAGCATCAATATGAAGGTATTTACATGTGAATTTATTTTTTTGTTGATCTGGTAAATCAACAATAACTTCAATTGTTTTATTTTCAGGTTTAGCAACTACTTCAAACTGTAATTCTTTGTCATTTTCAATACATGTGAATTGAGTCATTTGAAGTGACTCATTTAATGGAAGAGTAAAATGGTATTGTTTTAGTTGTTCCCCTTCAACAAAAAATTCCATTGTTCTTTTAGGAAATGGTGTAAAATCAATGTTAACCTCAACTTGATTTTTGGTGATTGTTGCATGACAACAATAAACAATAAAAAGAAGAAGAATAACACCAACCATCGGTTGACTTTGTTTTTTGATTCATCTTTTCAAGTTCTGATTTTAATTATTCTTTATTTTTTCAAAAAAGATATTAATTGTTATATATAACGATAAATTAATGATTCTTCGAGAAGAAACAATTAAAATAAAACCAGAAAAATCAAATAATATTTCGTATAATAAAATAAACTATTAGAATAGTTTAATGAATGAAAATAATTTGAAGAGAGAAAGAAGAAACAATCAAAAAATAGTTGCTAAATCCCGAGATTATAGTAAAGAATCTATATAAAAATATCTCTTTAAGTGTTGAAAAAAGAAATAATACAAAATATATTTTTGCTCTTTCTCTTTTTCATAAAAATTAACTATAAAATGAATAAGTAACACAGCAATTATTCAGAATCTCCTTCTCCTTCTTCTTCTTCTTCCTCAGAAACTTGTTTTTTACCAGTGTATTTTTCCATATCTTTTTTGTATTGTTCTTTAGCAGCATCAGCTTTAGCTTGATATTCCTTCTTTTCTTCTTCTCCAAGAGCTTTCCATTGTTCAGATGCAATTTTAGCAATCTCTGTAACTTTAGCATCTGGGTGTTCTTCCTTAATAGAAGCTCTGTGTTCATGTAAGTAAAGAAAATATGGTGTTTGAGGTCTTTTTGGTCTATTTGGATCCTTTTTAGCCTTTTTGTCTTTAGTATTTTTAGCCTTAGAAGTTTTAGTGTTTCCCTTTGGCATTCAAATTAAATGAATACTTTTCTCTGTTCACCCTTTATATATTTCCTTCTTTTTTTTCTCTTTTCACTCTTAATGAAAAAAAAACCATGAACAAAATTAAAGGGAAATAGTAGTTCAAAAACCCCTTCATTTTTTCATATCTAATTTCTTTACTGTTTTTTTTATTAATTCATCTAGTTTCTTTTTTTCTCTTTTACCTCTTCTCGATGCAATCTCATATTTAAAGGTTCTATTTTTATGAATTCTTCCCCCTTATTCTACCTAACATAATTAAACCTTCATTCTTTATCCTTTTCCCTCCTTTTCGACCCTCTTCTTATCTTCTTTCTTAAAATTTAATTTGAAAACTTTGAGTTATTAATTTAAGCACCTTTTTCAGAACAAAAACAAACATTTAAAGAGTATTACTCCTTTATAGAAGATATGTGTGCTGTTTCTATTTTATCTTTTATACTGACAATAACTTTTTCTTGAAATCAATTTGTCCCTACCTAGAAAGTAAGATTTCTTTTCATTTTAGAACTTTTTTCTTGTCCTTTCTTTTCAAATGGTCATTGTTGGTTTAAGTAATATTTAAGTTATCATAACATCAGAAAATAATTTATTGTTGTTACAAAACTACCAAACCTAAAACAAAGCATGATGAGATTAAAGACTTTAATTAACAACTGAAACAAAATAAATCTAATCTACTCAATCAATAGTTTTTATTCCAAATTAAGTCTTACCTCTTCCTCAGACTCTAATTCAGAATTCTTTATTTGAATTTCCTCTCCAACAAATGAAACCTTTTTAATATTTTCTGGGAGAAAAGACAAATAATATTTTAAGCGGGAATCAATAAACAAGTCGTAATAATAAGACTTCATTAAACAAAAAGGGCAGTTCCATATGTTTGTGTACAAACAACAACTTATAACATTTTTTAAATCACAACAAATCATGTGTTTACAAGCTCTTCCTCTTACAGGGTTTTCAATTCTATTTAATCCTATTGGACAAGTCAAAGGAACGTCAAATGAGATATTAAAATCATCGTCTTTATATTGATCTTTAATTTGTATTTCATCAAAAGGTACTTGATACTTTAAACAAACTTCTTTTAACTCTTGTAAGTGAGAGTCAAAATCAACCATATTAATGATATCTCTTTTACATCTAATTTCACATTTCATTACGATAATATAAGCATTATCATCAAAAATAGAAATGTTACAAACTCCATTTTTGTCAAATTGTAAATGCAAAGGGATAACAACGTTAGCGGTTTCATATTCTTTTTCAAAATGATTTGGTTTTATAAAATTAAATACATTTCCATTAATATGAATGTCATATAAAAATACATCACTTCCATTTTCATTAATAAAACGGACATAATATTCATTACTCTCAGGTTGGTCATAGATTCTTATTGCATGTTTACTAAATGAATATATTTCTTTAATTTTATATAATGGATGTTGTGATTTAAAAAATAAGAATGGTATTTTAAATTTATTACAAAATTCTGGGATTCTTTCTGTTAACTCGAAATCCTTGGCTTCTTCATTAACCATTTCCATATTAATTATGTCATGAGCAATAATAGAGTCTGACTCATTTTCCTTTTTTTTTATTTCTTTCATTTTCTTTTGAAGATTTTTCTGTTTGATATAACTTTTTACTTCTTTTAATGAAGCTTGTGCTTCTTTTATTGGAATTGTTTTTCTTTTTCTATCCTTGGCTAATGAATTATTTTTTTTATTTGTTTGAAGAATATTATCTTCTTCAACAATTTGAACTGAACTTTCTTTTGATTCAGAGTGTGTTTCAGACTGGTCTTTTTCACTTGAAGAGGAGTTAGTATTTATAATATTTACTTCTTGAAAAATAGGAGATGATATAAAATTTTTTCTTTTATGAGAAAGTTGTGGTGTTTTTAAAGGCTCTTCATTATCTATCTTTACTTCTTTTATTGGACGAGTTAATCTTCTTCTACGATAATAATAGTGTTGAATTTCTTCAATAATTGGATCTACTGTGTTACTTTTCTTTTGTCTTTTCTTTTCAGGAAATTGTTTTGGTTTTTTATCTTCTTTTTCTTCAGTAGGTTCAATTACTGTCCTTTCACTATCACCGGTTTCACTTTTTGTATTTATTTTTCTCCCTGTTTCGTTAACAATATCGTTTTCAACTAAGTTAATAACAGTTTCTTCATCACCAGTAATTAATATAGAATTTTCTTCTTTATTTGTTCTTATTGGAACACTATTTTGTGATAAAAAATTATATTTTGGTTCATTAAAATTGAAATTAGTTTTTTTTTCAGAGAGACTTGGTCTTTTAGAGAGTACTTCAATTTCAGCATTTAACATATCAACAACTTCAGCGATAAATTTATCTCTGGGTTCTAATAGAAATGAATATCATTAGTTTGTTATTAATTTTTTCATTCTATTAAAACAAACTATAAAACTCAGGAAAGTCAAAACAATGTTCAAAAATTCCATCTTTTTGACTTTCTTTAATGCTTCCTATAATAAAATTTAATTGACCATCGGTAAACTTACTTAACGATTCTTGTGTGATGAACTGTTCAACGCTGTCACTATCCATAAATAATCTTTCTTGAATACTTTTTAAACATTGTTTAGTTATGATTTGATAAACTTTTTTTGTTCCTTTTTGATTCATCTCAATTTTTCCTTTGTTTTTTAGTTTTATTAAACCCTTTATTTTATTTAGAAACCCTTTATTTTTGTATTTTTCATATCCAAAATACCTTTAACTTGATAGATATTTGATAAAGATAAGTGTTGTTGTACTCCTTTATACATACTCTTTTTTGATAGTTGTTGAATAATCTGGAATAATTAGGTGATGTATTATTAAAAAGAAGTAAATAACTTTGATCATATTGCTTTATATCAAAGGTTAAGTTTTTGAATAAAAGTAAAACAATTTAAATAAATTGGAAATAAGTTCTTCTCAATGTTAAGAAAATCCAACTGTTTATTTCTCAATTAATTCTTCTTTTTTTTTCAGTTTTTCTTTTATTATTAATATAATAATATTTACTTTATTAATTTTTCTTAAATATGGAATTTATTGGTATTTTTTTTTCATAAGATTTTTTCATTATATTAATGTTTCTCATCTTTATTTGATATCAATAATGAACCAAATTTTGGAAATTCCTTTTATTTAAAATTACTTAGCCATTTTTCTTTTTATGTGATTTTTTAAAAAATTTGCATTTTTCAGTAATCAATTTTTGTTTTCTTAAAAGAAAACAAAAATTGAAATTGGAGTATATTAAAAGAATAAATATTTTATTGTTTAACTACTTAAAAGTTAATTTAAATAATAAATCTCATTAAAGTGTTGCAATGAAATAATTAATGAAATTTTATTTTATTAATGCAATACGTTTATCTCTAAAAGATAAATATTTTAATTTACAGTTATTCATAAGTTTATAACACCTTTAATCACTTAATTCTTTAGTCTTTTTTTTTTATTATTCTTTTCATTAAAACAAGTTTCTTAAAAACTAAATTATATCACACTTGATATTTATTAATATCGTTGTAATAACAATTGTAAACTTCTTTAAAGGTAATAAAAGAAAACAGATATCAAAGAGTGCTTTTTTAACTTTAAAAGGGTCAATTGAATACACTATTCCAGAGCACTGACAATGAAATATATCAAGAGAAGTAAAAAGTAAACAAAAGAATTCATAAATAATAAGATAAATTAATAACAACAATAAAAAATTATTTATAGAAAAAACAAAAACTAAAAGAACTTTGAATTTAATTAATTTTATAATATAAACAACTCATGTCAATTCTTAATGAAGCTAATGATTGCAATAAAATATTAGTACGATTAGTTTCATACGCTAACACAATATGTAGTGAATTATTTAGAGTTAAAGATTTAATACCAGAAGACTTTATTAATCCATCAAATTATTGTAAAGATTTAATATTTGACTACAGTTATATTCCAAAGAGTGAATCTATTGATATGAAAATAAATTCATCAAGAGAATTAAGAATTATTGATATGAAAATAAAAGAGAAGTATGAACGAATAATTTGGAGGACATTTCAAGTTTTTGAATCCATTTATCAATACACTAAACAAGTAGAAGAATTTTATGATAAAATTATTGAAGGAGAATATCTTCAATACAATGCAGAAACATTATTAGTTGATGTTGAAGGTAAACAGTTAGTATGTGAGTCGTTATCATTTGTTGTACGATTATTATTATTATTAGATATATTAATACCAGGTATTGTACGTGAAAGAATACTTATTTTTGTATTAAGACATAAAAGAAGTAATGAATTTGGAGATTTAGATAAAATTATTCCATTAGTAAAAAGAACTGAATATATTGTTGGTTCATCAAAAAAACCTTCTAATTATCCAGATGAATATTTAAAAAGAATTCATGTTAATGATTATATTGTTCAAATGGCCATTGGTAGAATGCTTTCAGATGATATTTATAATACAACAAAATCGTTTCCACTTCCAGATCATAGAAGTTCTGCATTAAGTGCACAAGGAAGTTTATTAACAATGATATTATTTTTGTCACCTCAAACATTAAATAATAATATTTCATTTATGAATGAAGTTGTTAATAAATTTTTTGGTGATTGTTGGATAGTACCAATATATATTGGTCACTGCATTGACTTAACATTCTTTTGGGATTCTTATAAATCAGCTCGTCAAGCATTACAACGAGTAGTTACTCCATCTCATATTGAAAATATTTGGAAAAGACATCAACAAGTAATGGCTAAATGCAAAATTGAGTTACAAGGATATTTAGAAGAAGGAGGAATGACAGATGAAAAAGTAATGTTAAATATGCAAAAATTAATTAATTGTCAACGGAATTGTAATGTCGTATTAAGATGGGCATTATTACATGGGACATATCCAATTAAAAAATTAAAAGATATTTTTGTTAAATCTAAATATCATGAAGATATTATTGATTTTTTACTTGAAACTGCTCAATTTGAATTTGAATTAAAACGAATTATAAGTAATATTGTTAAAGAAAAACCATTACAATGGGAATCTTTAAAAAATGAAAGTTCTAAAAGAATGAAAGATTTATCTAATTATTTTAATGATGAAAATAAATTAAGTGAACACTCTAATTCAGGACTAATGAAATGGTGTTTATTTATGAGTGAACAAATTGATAAATTAGATGTAAAAGAAGTTTCAAGTGGAAAATCATTAAGTAAATTAATACAAGCTATGGAAGAAGTTGAGACTAATTATTTAAATGACTTATCATTAATTGTAGTTGAAACAGTAAGAAAAACTAAAGACATGTTAACGAAAATGTTTAGATTATTAAATGTTAATGATACAGTTAGGGGGTTATTAGATAATATTTCAGATTGCTCTTATGCTAATGAATTATTATCTACTCAAGTTTATGTTGAATATTTACAACAAATTATAAAGAAAAATCCAAGAAATTCATTAAAATTAAGAAGTTTAATTTTAAAAATGTCATCTATCCTTCATCTTGCTTTATTAAGAATGATGCAAGCTAAGACTGATGAACAAATGGAAAATGTATCAAAATATTATTCAGAAGTTTTAGTAAATTATGTACAAAGAGTATTAGAAGTTATTCCAGAACAAGTTTTCTTATTAATTAATTCAATTGCTAAGTTACAAGTTACAAGTATTCCAGAAACTCCAGTGTTTGTTGAAAAGAAAGATATTATTAATTTTGCTTTATTTGATGAGAGAAATTATCTTGCTGAATTAACTCATTCAGTATCTATTTATGCTGAAGGAATTCTTGCAATGGAAACAACATTTGTTGGTATTATTCAAGTAGATCCAGTTAAGTTACTTGAAGATGGTATTAGAAAAGCTCTTGGAAGAAGATTAAAAAATATGTTTTCTAAGACACTACAATTTAAAATAAATGGTAATTTAGGTGAAACTCTTACACAACTATCTGAATTATCAAATCAAATTGGTGGATTTTCTACGTCTTTTAGATACATTCAAGATTATCTTCATATTGATGGTCTTAAAGTGTGGCAAGAAGAATTTACTAATGTAATTTCAACATGTGTTAATGAAGAGTGTAATAGTTTTTTGGCAAATGGATTAGGTACAGTTGATTCTCAAACATTTATTGGTAAATTAACAAGTCAAATAATGAGTATTGTTGATTATCGTAAAAATGTATTTTATCTTTCTGCTGCAAATGGATGGTTCTATAAAGATGGAAAAGAAGTTATTGGATATGTTTTTATGAGAAAATTAGTTAGTGCCCTAAGTGTATTAGGAGTTACTGGAATTAATCAATTATGTGCATTTAAATGTGTTAAAGAATTAAATGATATTATTACAACAGTAAATTTAATTGTTGAGAAATATTCTGTATTTAATCAAATGATTCAAAACTTTAACGAAAATAAATTAAATGAACAAAATATTTTTAAAGTTATTGATAATGGATTGTCTATTGTAACAAAAAATGGTAGATCGTTAATTGATACTTTACATAATCTTGGAACTTTACAATTATTAAGAGAACAATTTAACTGTCAACTATGTTCAGAAAATAGAACAAAAGCAACTAGTCTTCATTTTGCATTAAAAAGTTTTGATCAAGCATTAGTACATGATTTCTTTGAAAATCCAAATAAAAAAGAACGAGAACCACTTTTATATAATGAAATTAATAGATTTCTTGATGTTGCTGGATTTGTTCCTGCATTATCTAAAGTGTATATAACATGTGCAGAAGGTGGTGATCAAATTGCATCAGTATTGTCATTGTTCATATTATATTGTAGTCAATTCTTTATATTTGATTCAAGGTATCAAACACTTATGCTTCGACCAAAAGCACCTGTTCCATATGACCCTCATGTTCTTGGTGTTGGTATTGTTACAGTATTTAGACAATTCCATCCCTCAACATTGTGGACTTCATTTAGTTATTTATCTTTATATGTAAAAGGAGTAATGATTAATTGCTTAACACTATCAAAACAAATTCCATTTATCATCTTCCAGTTGTGTGATTTTATGACTTCTATTATTCAAATAGGAGGGTATGATAAAAAAATATATGACTCTCTTATTCCTGTGTCTCTTCTTGCTTCATTGAATCAACCAAATTAATTTAATTAATACTAATTAGTTTAATTATGTTTACTTGGAACTGGTTTTTAAAGAAGATGTACATATTGTTCTGACTCTTCTTTTGTTGTTTCAATAATACCAATCTTTTTAAATAATTCTTTCCAATTCCCCCATAAATTAAACAAATAATGGAAATAAAAAAATGTTACTGCACAACATAATGAATCTGATGAAGCTGTTGATAGAACTTTAAAAAATGAAATAGTTTCTGGTAATATTTTTTGTATCATTAGTGTTAATGGAGGTTGAATTAAACATGAAGCCATAATAATGAAATACCCAGAAAATAAAATCATTTGTTTTGCAACTTCTTTTATTTCTAAATCTTCTATCTTCCAATACTGAAGGAAGTGCAATGTATTTGTATATAACGATGCTTTATGAATAAAAGTAATTACTGCAACTATACCAATCAATAAACACATAATAATTCGTGGAATAATTGATATTCCCCACCTTATTCCTGGGGATGTACTAACACATATTGCAAATTCTAATGCACAAGAGTGTGTGTATATTGGAATTGAAGTGAGGATACACATAGACCAAACAATACAATGAGTGATAATACACCTTTTTTTATTTTCTTCTAAACAAATTAATTGATGAAGAAAATATTCAACAACACAACATAAACACCATAGCGTTTGTCCCTATCTTGTGTTAGACTAATTCTCTAAATAAAAATAAACAAACGTATTGAACAAAATTTACAAATGCAGCTTCAAAATGACATATTTTTGTATTGTTTTGGTGTGAAAGGAATATAGCAGACAAGACTACAGAGAAACACCCAAGTAAATTAACAAACATTAACATCGCAAAATAATGTTTAACATTTGACTGACAATACACAGTAAAATAAAAGAATGCAAACACTCCAGCAATGGCAATAACAAATACTCCTAAGTCCATGATAAATTTTAAAACAAGGACTGTCACACTAAAACCCGAAATCATTATTACAAAATAGATATTAAGATCTAGATTTAATAAAAAAAAGAGGTGAAACTAAATTATTCTACTCGTTCTTCATTTATTGTTGGGTATTTTATATTATTATTTTTATCAAGTGGAAGGTCTAATGAATCACTTCTTGGTAACTCAAATGGGATCGGCGCCTTACATCTTCTTGAATATTTTTTTTGTGATCTTAATGGAGAATAGTCATTAAAAGAAATAGATTCAAGGTCCATTCTTTTAGCAGTTGAAATTTGTTTTTCTGAACCTAATTTGTCCTGACGAATAGCTGTTCCTTCTAATTCATTTATCTTTCCTCTTTCAGTAATACTACCATCTAAGTAAACACCTCTTTGTTTTTTTTGTTGATATAAAAGTTCTTCATTTTGGAGAGGTTCTCTTCTTAGTATCTTTCCAAATTCTTGTTTAAATGCTTTACTATCAGTAACTCCTTTTTGATAGAATATTGTGTTTTGGAGTATTCTATTATGTGGTAGATGTGTGTTTGTAGTCACGTTTTCTTTAATACTATTTTTGCCCTGTTTTGTTAATGTGTGACACGTTATATTGTCTTGGCTATGACTAAAAGTTTGTTCATGGTTTAAGAAAAATAGTTCTGCAGATGGGACATGGGTATGTATTATATATGATTTATCAATATTGTATGGGAGTGACTCAAAATGGTTTCCATCTTTTGAATGAAAGATGCAATATAATTGGTTAGGCTTTTCTTGATAATACAATTGCTCGTTATTTGCCCTAAGAGTTGAAAGTTGACTCATAAGCTCTTTAAATGTTTCAGATGAATTAACATAGATGTACATCTCAAAACAAGGAACCAAATAAAATAATAAACCAAGCACAAAAGATCTCAGTCCATAAATCCTATGTTTCAATCCTTTAAATCCTACAACACAATACCCCGTAATGTTTTTAATAATGAAAATGAAATATTTAATAAGTTCAAAAATACTTACTAGTATAAAAAAGAATCCACCAAGTAATAAACATAATATATTAAATGCTTTGGTAGTAGTAGATACAGTCATTTTGTTAATATTCTAGAGCTCATTTTAGTTATTTATTTAAATTCTCAAAATGAGATACAATCATCTCAAAGCATTATTAATTAATATGGGGAGATAACTTTGAATGAAATGGTAAGATTAGAGTCAATACAAACAGTCGCTCCTTTGTTATCAAAGATACCAGTATACTGACAAGCAGAAAACACAGTAATACACCTCCCTTCAACAATAAACCCTTCTTTAACTACTTCATGACCACGAACCATATACTCTAAATTATTATCATCAAGAAATTGGTTGAGCTCTTTTACCCCAAAAACAAAACTAACTTCTCTTCGTTGGTTATGTGCAAACCCAATTTGTTCTACATCAAAATCAGACCACAACAAATCTCTAAGAAGTCCTTCTTTTGGTACATCAACAGGTCTCTCAATTCTTCTCAATTGAGTAACATACTTTAATAAGGGGGATATCCCACCATGAACACAAAAAATTTTGTTGTTGATAATTGCAGCAAATGGCATTACATTAAAAGTCGATACGAAGGCATTCCAAATATATAAACTTCCGTATTTGTATATACACTCATAGTAAAACAAATTTCTTCTGTTAATTCGTGCACATTCATGATCACCACGACAAATGAAAATAGATCCTGGGTATTTTACTTTCAAAGCATATAATAAGCAAAGAACTTCTATCCCAAACTTTCCTCGATCAACATAATCCCCAAGAAATAAATATGTTGTGTCTGGGGGTATTCCATTGCTTTGAAAATGACGAATTAGATCAAAATATTGCCCATGAAGATCACCTAAAATAACAATCTTATTACTAATAACAAGATTTAATAAAACAGGTTCACTCATCATTTCGTTTCTTACTTTTTGACAAAGATAACTACAACAACTGTTATTCCTTAGAGCAAATTGAAATTCTTAATTAAAAAAACTTCAAACTATATAGTATCTCCAGTAATAATTTGAGCTAATTCTTTACTTGTTTTTGCTTTAAATAATTTAATGATTAACAGGTCAATATTAGGTATATTCGAAGTTATAGGTACAAGCATTGTTCTTGACATCAAGAATGAATAATTTTTAGACCTATTTTTATATTTGATGTATTACAAAAAAAATTAGAAATGATATAACTGAAACCTAAAAATAACTGAAAATAGAAGTCCATTCATTTTGTTTCTATGGATTTGATAAGCAAATTCAACTTTCTTTTCATAATAGTAATTTCATCTTTATACTTAGCCATCTTGTCATCAGCTTCTGCTTTAATTCTTTCTAATCGTGCACCAGCACCTGCTTTTCTTAATTTTTCGTTTTCAGCAGTTAAAATCTTTAATCTACTTTGTAATCCTTTAACCCGTTCTTCTATTTCTGATTTGAAGTCATCAAGTTCTACCTGACTTACTCCTCCACTTTGTGATGCCTTCATCATCTTTATAACTTCAGCACCTTCTAAACGTGCTTTTTTTTCTATTGCAACTTGTTGTTCTAACTCAGTAACACGAACCTTTAATGTAGTGATAACTTCATCTTCTTCTAGTGTCGGAGGGATTTTTTCCATATCTTCTTTTGAAGTTTCTTCTTTCTTTCTTGTTAATTCATTAATTTGGTTTTGTTGTTGTTGGATGGTTTGTTGAAGAGAAGCAACTAAGACAATATCCTTATCGTGTTGTTCTCTAATTTGTTGGACTTCAGCTTTCTCTTCATCTAATGTTTGTTGTAAGAAGTCACGTTCTCTTCTCATCTTATCTAACTCTAATTTCAATTCTTCTATCTCTTCAAATGCCTTTTCTTTTTCTTCATCAACATAATCATCATCATATGTTTCATTTGTTTTTTGTATGATTTCATCGTTATTATTTTCTTGTTTAATTGAATAGGATTCTAAATTTGTGTTTCCATTTTTACACTCATCTTGTAGTTGTGTTTCTTGTTTAAGTTCTTCTTGTTCTTGATCTAACGGTTTCTGAGTAATAGGAACTGTTTGTTGTACAACCTCTTGAATATTCTCAATATCACTTTGTTGATTCTCTTCTTCTTTTGGTTGTTTTTCTTCTTGTTTGACTTTTTCAACGAGCGGAGTTTCCTCTTGTTGTTTAGGAGTTTCTTGAGTAAGCTCTGTATTGCTTTGTTGAGATTCCTCTTTTGGTTGTTCTTCGTCTTGTTTAATTTCTTCTTGTTTAATTTCTTCTTGTTTAGGTTCTTCTTGTTTAGGTTCTTCTTGTTTAGGTTCTTCTTGTTTAGGTTCTTCTTGTTTAACTTCTTCTTCTGAGTGTTGAGTTAGTTCTTCTAATGATTCTTGGGTAATAGAAGGAGTTTGTTGTACAACTTCTTGTACCTTTTCTTCATCTCTTTGTGGGATTTCTTGTTTTGGTTGTTCTTCTTGTTTAGTTGTTTCGTTTAATTGTTGATTAGATTCAATAACAGGTTGGACTTCTTTAACTTGACTCTCTACTGTTTTTTCGTTATGCCCTTCTTGGTTTTGTAGTTTTTCTTCAGTGTGTTCTTGTTGAACAATCATAGGCTTTATTGATTTCTTGAAGAAACTTCTTTTTGGATTCATAGACTCTCTCATAATGTTTTGTTTCTTTTCTTCATAAACATGTTTAGTATTATCAACTTCTGGCTTTGCTTTTCTTCTTCTTTGTGTGAAGAATCCTTTTTTACTTGCTTTATTTTCTTTTTTAAAGAAATTAGGTTGATCAACTGGTAATTGAGCGTCTCCAGTCTTACGGGCAGCAGTTTGATTTTTGAAATGAGTAATACCCTCAGTGTACTCCTTTCTGTATGGCTTCACGAATTTTTGTATCTTTACAAAGCTTCTTGGTACAAAGCCTTCAACACCACTTCTCTTACCAATTATCCAATTTTCATCAACTATTTTCATAACAATCCAAGCCTGATTTGCAATAATAGTCATTTCATTTTGATTACGAGCTTGGAATGTTTTCTCCACAATGACATAGTCTTGACCATCTTTAATAGTCATTAAGTTACTTGTAGGAACTAATCCACTTTGTTCTCCTTTAAAACACTTCGACATACCATTAGCTTCATTAGATAATACTATCAATAATTCACTTTGTCTAACAGCAAGAAGACCCATAGAACCCCCACAAAAATCATCCAAAGTAATAGCAGTTTCTTGTTTAATTTTTTTATCAGACTCGCTTAATAAGCAAATAAAACTTGATGGAAAAATGAACCTTTCTTGATCAACAATTACTATAGCCCAACTTCCAATTATTTTTTCTACATAAAAAATATCGCCAACTTCTGCTGATAATTGATACTCTCCTTTTGATACATAATCAAATAAAACAACTGCCTCTTGTTTTACTTCTTTATTTATTGTGCCAGACACTTCTACATATTCTCCTGGAAAATATCCCATTGAACATCCACTCCTACCATACCACCATCCTCCTTCACAACTCATCACTTCGATTTCATCTCCAGTAATTAAATTGATTTCTTTGTCTGAATGTGGTTGATATAATTGTTTTACTGTTGCACGACAAGGAAGTATTTTTGGTTTTTCTGGAACAGTTTGAGAAACTTCTTTAGTTTCTTCTTTATATAATGAAGTAAAGTTTTGTGGAATATACCCAGTTTCAAATCCTCTTTGACAATATAACCATCCAATACGTACATTCTTTTCTATTACTTTTAAAACTTCTCCTGCTTTAGTTTTCATACAAGTAGAGTCTCCTGTTGAAAAGTCATAATTCATTACAACTGTCTCAATAACTGGAATGCTTACAGTAGAGATATGAAATAACCCTGTTTGATTGTTTAATGTTCCTTTCCACAATCCATTTGACATTCTATCAACTACTTTAATACTATCTCCTTCCATGAAAGATAGTTTTAAAGAAGAGTGAGAAGCAACATTACATTTAGCCTTAACAATCATTTGACTCATTTCTTATGCTCAGATATATCACTATCTAAAAAAGTTCTCATATTCAAAATTTTTATTTCTTTTCTTTTATAGATTCATTTATTTCTTTTTCTTCCCAATTAATCATTTTCTTTTAACTTCTTTGTTCTATCTTATAATTATTGTCCCTTCATCTATTTTTATTTTTATAGTTTTTAATATGTTTTTATTACATTATAAATCATATCCTTGAAATCATCCTTAAAAATTATAACCAATTGATCTAAGACACATCAGACGACCTTCCTTGTGAGTTCCACTTACTTCTATTACTGATATATTTATATTATTTTTATTGTTTTTGTGCAAGATAAATCTTATGGTGTATATTAAAAACAAAAAAGTTAAATAAAACAATTAAAGATTGTTATGTTGATAGATGCCAAATTCTTTGAAAGTAATGTTTATTTGTTTTTAAAACAAAATCATTTTATTTATTTCATAATAATTATCATAATAATTTATTCTTGTACCTTTCTTTTTAAAAAATTAAAAAATTAAATTTCCTTTTTTGTTTTGTGTTATAATTATATTATTAAAAGTTAAAAAAAAAGGTGCTTAAATAAAATTTTCTATCATAACTCTTAAGTTAATATAAACTACAAGTTATTACAAATAATTTACTAGTACTATAAAATTTTAATATATCTTAATATCTAGAGTTTATAGTATATGTTAGCAATAACTCAAAAATATCATTTTATAATTTTAAAAACTTCTCTTCCTGTTTTTAACCAATTTTCTTCCACTCATAAACTTTAAGAAGTTAATTTGTATAATATTTGTTAATATAAAAAATGTTTTTACTTGTTTATAATTTAACATTAATAAAAATTTTATTTTGTTATTGTGTATAGTTGTGTTTTAAGGATAAGTTAGTAAATCATTTAACAGATATAATTTAGTTAAGAATAACAAATAAAATGACATTGTTATTAATAAGTCTTAAGAAAAAAACAAATTACAAAAATCCTTTTTTAAATTTTTCAACAACATGATTGTTTCTTTTGAGTTGGTTGAAGAGAAGCATCATCTAAAAGTTTTGGTACAGAAACAAGTCGTTCCATAATACTTTTGTTTTTTGAAATAGACTCAACTAAAACATTGAATATGCTTTCAACATTTTCACCAGTTTTGGCTGAACATCTCATTGACCTTAACCCTCCACTTAAACGACAAAACTTTTCTGCAACTTCAGATGTAACAACAGCATCTTCTGAATCAATTTTATTTCCAACTACCAATATTTCCGGTTTTGTACTACAATCATTTAACTCATTTATCCAATATGTAATTTTTTCGAAAGAAGTTATATCAGTAACATCATATACAATTAAACAGCCGTGAGTACCACGATAATAAGATGAAGTAATATTTCTAAACCTTTCTTGTCCAGCAGTATCCCATAATTGTAATTTAACTGTTTTACCTTGGTAATTTATTATTCGTGATTTAAAATCAACACCTATTGTTGAAATTAATTCATCATGAAATTCATTTTCACAATATCGTTCTAATATAGCTGTTTTACCAACAGCAGATTCTCCAATAATAAGAATCTTAAATGTCATATCTGCTTGTTGCTGTAAATGTGGTTCAATGTTCATATTAATACACTTTTTTGGATATTGTTTTTTAAGTTCATTTTAAGATATCTGTGATTGTCAAAGTGAAAAATTTTTGTTTTTGCTTCATTTTCACCTATTTTTTTTTTAATTTTTTTATTTGATTACTTAATAAAATGAAATTTTATATTATGATATTTTTTAGTTTTTTTATATCTTCAACATCTATAAAATATTGATGTCTGAAAATGATGGCATATATCAAGGAAAATCTCTTTCTACTTTTTCACAATCAAAATCTAAAACATTGATTTTTCACAAGGACCAAGAGACAAGTTCTTTTGTTAATGTTTTTGACAACCCCAAAAGAAAAGTCATAGAAAATATTGATTCTTCAAATGATATAAAAAAAGACATTTCTACTTCTAATCTTTCTACTGAATCATCTGGATTTGATTATTCTACTGAACTTAGTGATATACAAGTTCTTGATATCGAAGTTTATGAAGATTATCCAATTTTTGAAGAAGAAAAAGATTCATTAATAAAACTATATCATTACATGATGAAAAGAAAATCACTTAGAAAGAAAAACGTTAACAAGGACCAATCTAAAAGTCAGTTAACTTCAACAACATTAAGCTTTATACTCTTTTTAGATTTTCTTCACTTATATATTAGCATGGTAAAGCTCCATTTATTTTCAGGGTTCTATGAATATTATGTATTAGTATTTCTATTTTCTTTTCTCTTAATGATTTCAATGCATTATTCAAATCCAATTCTGATTTATTTATTTACATTACTTTATATTTTTATTTATTGCTATACTTTAATCAGCAATATTCTAATCACAGGAACTGATGAATCACCGGATAAAAATCAGTCAAAAAATTGGTATGGATTTATTATTCCATTAGTACTTGTCCTTTTCTTAGGAGTTATTTTTTATAAGTGGATATATCCTTTACTTTATAAATTAATTTCATCATTACTTAAATCACGATTTTCTATCAGAAAAATTGTAAGTAAAAAAACTCAAAAAACTAAATATGAGTTTGATCATGGAAAATATTTGTTCATGATTAATGAATTTGATCAAAACAATTTAAACAGAACAAGTGGATTTGGAACATGGATAGATAACTCTTTTCATGGAGAAAGATTAGAAGGATATTTTGATAATGCTATTCCTGTTGGTCCATTCCATTCAGTTGAAAGTAAAACACCAAATATATTTAAGTCAATTAGAATAATATTTGCGTCAAATTCTGGTGGTAAATTATTTATTGAAAAGACAAAATTAGGATATGGAGTTGCTTCAGTAGAGTGTTGTGTTAGTGGAACTTTTTATAAACACTATCCATTAGTTCATTATATTACAGAAAAAAAAGAGTGTAATTGTAGAAAACGAGAATGTTTTTGTATAAGTAACATTCTTAAAAATCATTTATATTTTCATTTAGAAGAAAATAAACCTGTTTCAAATATTAGTGTTATGGTAGATCAAAAAGAAAATTGCTTGTTTATTCCTGGTTATTATTCAAAACATGCTAAAAAAAGAAAAGAAGTAACAATAACAGTAAAAGATTTAAATAATGAAAAAACATTAGAAGTAGATTCTCATTGGGTTAAACGATGTGGTTCAGTTGCTGAAGGAAATATAGAAGTACTTCTATTTATTCATGGACTTGATCATACTTTGTATGATGCTCTTCGAAGAATGGGTCAAATGCTTGCACTAGGAAATTTCCCACAACACATTCTTCCATTAGTATTTAATTGGCCGTCTTCTCAAAACGCTGCTTGTTATTATTGTGCAGCAAATAATGCATGTGATAGAAATCAGCATAGAGACTTTTTCAATTTTTTAAAATCCTTGCAAAATGCAGGTGTTAAAAGAATTCATATAATGTGTCATTCTCTTGGTTCTAAATTCTTTATGCAAAGTTATTTATTGGTTCAATCATTATTTAAAAAAGTTTCTAAAAATTCTACAAGATATTCTACATATGGAACTTCTTCTGATATTAGTGAAGGAGAAATAAATGAAGACATTGAACAAGGAAATATTAAAATGGAATTTGCTAATCTAATTTTACTTAATTCTGATTATGAAGTTGAAACATTCGTTGAAGATTATAATGAATTAAAGGAACGATGTGAACATATCACAATTTATGCTGATCAAAGAGATTCTGCATTACATATAAGTAATTTTCTTACAAAAAAAGAACGATTAGGAGCCCGAACCACACCATTAGAATATAATGGTGAAGTTTTAGATAAAATTGATATTATTGATACATCAGAGTTAGATAGAAATATTAATGAAGCACGACATGGATTTTTTAATATTAATAAAATGATGATTGATGATCTTTTTGATATAATTGTTAATTCTAAATCTGCTTCTTCTCGAGTAACTCGTTTAGTGAATGTCAACGGAACCTATAGGTTTTCGCTTCTTCCTTCTTTTTCTCAAATGAGGTTTTCACAAGTAGAGCAAAAGTGATACAATTTGTTATTTATTTTTTAATTATATTAACAAAACATTTTAATTTTTAAACTACTTCAAAGAAAACGATAAAATTTTTTTATTGTTCTAAACTAAAAAAGTTATTTTGAAAAGATTTTAAGAAATGTTTATCACTGAAAAAAGTCTTAATAATTTAAAATATTATAAGTACAGTGGGGTTGACCATTCATTGTGTGCTAATTATATTCTCTCTCCTTATTTTTGGGAACCTCTTCTTACTCATTGTATTCCTAGAAGTATTGCTCCAAATATGATAACACTAATAGGCGGATTATTTATGGTATTAGCATATATTCTCTTCGTTATTGAATCACCAACAGGAACAGAAACTGTGTCTACATTTACTTTAGTGATGAGTGGAATTCTTATTTTCTTATACCAAACTGCAGATAATCTTGATGGTAAACAAGCAAGAAGAACAAGCAACTCATCTCCTCTTGGAGAATTGTTTGACCATGGAGTAGATACATTTATGATGGGAATATTTTCAATGATAATAGTTATAGTCTTCAAGTTTGATTTAACAACACAATTATTTATTTTTATATTTTTATTAACTGTGTTTTATATGTCTCACTGGGAAGAATACCACACAAACACTCTAGTCCTTGGATACATATTTAATCCAACTGAACTACAATTATTGTGTATAGTTGGTTTATTTATTATTGCTATTAATCCAAATATTATTTATTTAGAAATATTTGGAATAACAATTCAGTATTGGGCAAAATATTGTATTATTGGATTTGCTTCATTAGCAAATAGTTATTATTTTTATTCTGCTTTTAGTCATATTAATAAAACTCATTGTTGTACAAAAACAGAAGCATTAAAACATGGACTTCCATATTTTTGTTTTACTTTAATGTCATTTATAAATATTTTATTAGTACCAAATACATTTATTATCTCTCATTATCATTTGTTTATTGGAACATTAATTTTCATTAATGCTTATTTAACTCAAAGGTTAATTGTTCATCGAATTTGTAAAGAATCTGTAACATATTATCACACTCTTCTTATACTTTATACACTGTATACTTTAAATGGTATTCTTTATTCTTTACAAATACCAGCCCTTAATTTCTATTTCTCTTTACGACTTTTATTTGTCTTTGCTTTAGTATTTGAAATTTCTTTTATATACACTATTATTACTTCTTTTTCAAAATATCTTCATATTAATGTGTTATTCATTACACCAAAACATGATTAAAAAAAAAAAAAAAGAATTAAAAGAAATTAATTTTATAAGTAAAAAAGAAGAAGAAAAACATAAAAGAATTCTAATTTACAAATTATTTTAAATCTTTTCCTTTTGTTTTAAATAAATAAAAATAAAAAAAATTTAAATAAATTTTTTAATAATACATTAATAATTTTTAATAAAGTACCATATAATTTCTTCCAAATCCAACTCTTTTAAATGCTGACATTGTTCTTTCCATAAATTCACCTCTTGACGTCGAACGAGAAACAATTTCATCTGTTGTAACAGAATTTTCATCTTCATCAATTTTTTTAATGTCATTATAACTAATGTCAATACATTCTTTACCATTTGCTTCAACACATAATTCTTTTAGAACGTCATTAACTTTAGAACCAATTCGAAAAATGTCTTCTTTGTTATAAAGTGTTTTTCCACTTTTGGAAATTTCACAAAATTTTTGCATTTTAACAGTATAAATAGAACTTCTTGTTCCACGAATTGTGAAGTTATATCCACACCTTTGTGCAAATTCAATAAGTAAATTAACACATAAAGAAGACTTACTTTTATCAAAATGTCTTTTTAATTGTTTTTGTTGACAAACTCGAATTGCAGGACTTATCATAGTTTGACAACGTCTTCCAATTTCTTCACAAAATTTAAATTCATTTATACCTTTTTTAAGATTTGAAATAACAAAGAAATGCTTAGATAAATGAGCAAATTTATCTGGTCTATCAATAGTAATAACATATCCATTTTCAATTAACAGATACATTAAAATAGATTGTTGAATAGCTTCCCAACTTTTACTTTCTTGCTTTAGTTCTCTTTGAGACAATGAATTGGTTTTAGACCTTGGCTTTTTCCCAAAGTCTTCCATGATTTAAAATTAAGTTTCATCTTTCTCTAAAAAGAAAAAAAGAACACGTCATTTTTTTTCTTAAAAACTTCTTTTTATTTCTTTTTCCATCTTTATATCAATATTCGTTTTTTTTATGACTCTTTTTATTATTTTTTTTTAATTTAAGGAATAGGGTTTTTCTTTCTTTTATAACAATTAAAAAATTTTAAACTTAGAATATTAAACTTTTTGAATTTCTACTATTTTTATTTCTTTCATTTTGTTGAGTTTTTTCCTTTTTCTTTTCTATTTATCATTATCTTAAAATTTTATAGTTCTTTTAAACTTCAATAACTGTTCTAGTATATTCTAACTCCTTCTTTTAACATCAAGGGCTACAATAAATATTTCTTGATATTTCTTTTTTTTTTTGAAACTTCGAACCTTTTTGGATGACTTATTTTAAGAATCTATTTTACTAAATAATTTTTTTATTAATTTATTTAAAAAATAATTCTATTTGTTGATGTATTATTTTAGTTATTATTTATTATTTTCTTAATTTTCTTATTGTAATTCTAATTAATTTTTAATAAATAATTGCTATAATAAATAAAAAGTAGTTAATTAAGTATTAATAGAAATATTTTCTATTGTTCATTATTCACTGGAGATTAACTAATCCTATCTCTTCGCTTTAAAGGTATTTGTTCATCAACTATTGGATTATTCTTTGCTTTTAGTTATTGAACTGTGACAATTTCCTTTTCTCGTTTTTGATGTAGAATAGAGTATTTTAAACATCAATTATTTAAATATTCATTATTTAATTTCTTTTTAATTTTGATGCGTTTAAATTTCTTCTTCTTTATTTTCTTATTTTAAGGAGAACATATAATTACTACTATATTGCCATGAGTTAATATTCTTTTTAGAATCAACCACCAAACCCTTTTCCTTTGATGGTCTTTCTTATATTGTCAAATATACTTGTATTCTAACAAGTAATAATAACGTTTTTATGAGTACCCATTCGTTTATTGTCAATGATATTCTGTCATTGAATTAATAAACACTGGTATTCTTGCAGTATTGGGTAAGATGTTTTTCTAACCAAACACAACGCCATAACCAGTCCATAACTGGGGGGAATCGAAGGAAGGAAATATTTTAGGGTTCTGTATGGTGTCTTTGACGGACTACCTTCAAAGTCCAATAATTGCTACAATAAATTAAATAACCAAGAAAAATATAAAAGATTAATTAGGTGGTATTTTGTTTTAATTCTGTTTTAAATCATTATTTTTATCTTATAAATTGAATTATTTTCTATTTACTCTTTAAATCTGTTTATGTGATTGTTTTTTTGTTTTATGTCATCCTCTAAAGGATGTCTTTTGAAAATAAGAAATTTATTTCTTTCATTGTCTCATAGTTTAGTCACAAAAATTTGTCTTATATTGGTATACTTACATGCTATTATCTTCTTTTTAAAGTAAAATCCAGCCCCTTAGTTTTGGATTCGTTTTGGTGTTTATAAGTCAAGTTAGAGTTCTTTGTTTCACTTTCTGTTTTAATTCAATTGGGGTGAAGTTGTTGTGTTTTAAAGAGTTATTATTTTTTTGTTTATGAAAAGTGTGGTGTTGTTAGTTTGAGGTTATTATTCAAAAGGTCTAGTTGCTTAAGAATACCATTCAAAGAAAGTGATTCGAGAGTGGATTATTCTTTATCCTTGTATACTTGATTAATAAAAGAAATGAAAAACTGTCAACTAAAAAATACGAAGACTATATAGAATTTGATTAAGGATATCAGACAAAGTAGTTTTTGTGAATGATATCATACTAAATTAAAACAGGGATATGGGTTATTACTTATAAGATAAAATATAACTTTGTATTTTATAAAAATAGAAATACTAAAAAATGAAAATAAAAAGAATCAGACTTTAAATAATTGTTATCATATTTAAATCAACAAAGATTAAGCACAAAAGTCATCATTTCTATTATTTTTTTTCTTAAAATTACATTAGAAATTAATAATTTTATTTATAAAAATTATGGGTATTTGATTTCATATTATTTAATTATTTTAAATTATAATTATATCAAAATTAATAAAAAAAAATAATCAAAACAAGTTTTTTAAATTATTAATGAAATAGGTAGTTCTTCTTCTTCATTTTTCAAATTTTTCAATACTTTTGAAGATAAAAGTTTTAACATTTTAATTTCTTTTGCATAATCAACAGAATCTGATTCGTTTTGGATATAATTCATTTGTATTTTTTTAAAGGCTTTTGACATTGTTTTCTTAAATTCTTTTTTTAATTCATTACGTTGAACAGCAAATTCTTTTGCTTTCTTATTTAACATATTTTGTAATTTTAATTCATTTTGTTCTCTTTCTTTCATTAATTGTTTTCTTAATGCAATACTTCTAATTTCAATTTCTCTTTCTGCTTGTTTCATTTTCCTTTTAATTTCATTTAAAGCTTTTTTTTCTTCTATTTCTAATGTGTGAATGTCTTTTTTTATTTCTTCACGTTCGTTTGTTTGGAATTTTTGTGAAATTTTTCTTTTCCATTCCATATCTATTTGTTTCTTCCATGTATCATCATTTAAAAATGATGTCATCTTAGGATCAATTCTTGGATTATATTCTTCTTTATAATAGTCATGTTGAACTGGTTTTACTTGTTTTACTATTCTTTTATATTTTCTATAATAGATTGGTTTGGGTTTATATTTACTTCTTGGTGCGTTATTAACCCATCCTCTTACTCTTTTATGAACTTTTCTATATGGGAAGTATTTTCTTTGATATTCTTCATAAAGTTTATCTGCTCGTTCATTGTTTTCGTTTTGTTTGTCATGGGCGTGTCTTAATTGATTATTATATCCAGACTTATATTTTGGATCATTTGCATGTGGACCATTATTTTTATAAAGAATTGGTACTATTTCTTCATTTTGTTGTTTTTTGATTTTATTCTTATTATCTTCTATTTTGTTTATTGTTCCTATAAGTTGATTTGTCCTTCCCAATAATTTTTGAGTTTTTTTCCATTCTTTCGATCTTCTTTGTTTAGCTCTAGTCTTTTCAGTTTCTTTTTCTAAATCTTTTTTCACACGTTTCATCATTCGAACATTTTCACTATTTGTTTGGTCGTTTTGTTTGATGATACTGTCAATTTCATTTATAATAGGATTATTGTTTGGATCCATTTCTTTTTTGTTACTATTATTTTTTTGGTTTTGAGTTTTGTAATTATTATTTCCTAGCTGGTTATTATACTTTTCATTCTTCTTTGTATTAGCATTGCTCTGTTCATTGTTATACCTATTGTTTCCATTTTGTCTATTTGAGTAGTTTTTATTTGCTCCTTTTCCACTACTCTTTTGGTTGTTGTTATTTAATTCATCAGTTTCTTTTTTTCTATCACTGGGAATAATATTAGTCGGATTATTTCTATTAAATTCATTAATAAGACCACCCGAGCTTTTGCTTTGATTTGGTTCGTTGTTGTATTTTCCATTCACTTTATTATTAACATTTCCTCCAAATGATATAGCGTTAGATCCTTGAATATTATTATTGCCAATGTTATTACTATTTACAGCCCCTGTGTAATTTTTTGAATTTAAATTATTTTTTACATTTCCGTTTCTACCAGAAGAAATTTTATTTGGGAAATTATTTAATAGATTTGAGTTAGTTAGATTATTAGTAGTATTTAATTGTGTAATATTACTCGGCCGTTTTGAATTATTTGGTTCTGTACTATTATTTAATTGTGTTGTTGTATTATTTAATTGTATTGTTGTATTGTTTAATTGTGTTGTTGTATTGTTTAATTGTGTTCCATTGTTTAATTGTGTAGTATTGTTTAATTGTGTTCCATTATTTAACTGTGTTCCATTATTTAACTGTGTTCCATTGTTTAACTGTGTTCCATTGTTTAATTGTGTAGTATTGTTTAACTGTGTGGTATTGTTTAATTGTGTAGTATTGTTTAATTGTGTTCCATTATTTAGTTGTGTAGTGTTATTGAGATTAGTATTGTTTGTAGAATTAGACAATTGGTTAGGATTGTTATTAGTACTATTGAGATTATTTGATGAGTTAGTATTTTGGCTATCTGTAGTATTATTTTTAATGGCTTGTCGTTCAGCAACAATTTCGCTCACACTTTTTGATTGAGATGCTAATGAAGGTTGTGCAAATTGGGGACTTGGTTTTGATGAGGAAGGGTTCATAGACCTTCCTGAATCTTTTCTAACGTCAATCCCACTTGAGGTTAACCGATTTGTATTTTCTTTAAAATTATCTCTATTAGTATCAAAACGTTTTCCACTCCAATGACCATTGACATCTGTTTTCCTCCATTTTTCATTATATAAATGTGCTCTTTTACGATATTCATCTCTAGCTTTAATCTGTGACTTATCTCTTTCTGCCATTTCCTTTTCATAAACACGAGACCTTAGTGTTGCGTCATCATACGAATTTTCGTTTCTATTAAATCTATCATATTTATCCTCAACTGTATTATTCAACTCTTCTTTATCTAAACTTCGTGCAATCCGAACACGTGATGTTTGCCATCCATTCTCTTCAGTCGCCACTTCAATTGGTTCAAGACCCTTTGAAACAACAAAAATGATCATAAAAACCAAGAATTTCATTGATTTTTTAATAATATAATTTTTAAGTTCTTTAATTTTTTATTTTTCTTCTTTTTTGTTTTTGATTTTTACTAATGAAAATAAATAACACAAAAAAGAATAACAATATTAATCAAAATAAATACGTTTAGTTTTAGGTAATGCAGGGGGATAGCTTGTTGGTTTTTTTACTTTCGTTGTTGAATAAAAATCTTCCTAGAGAAATGAGGTTAAGATTATTTATTGATTATATAAAATGAAGATACAAACTTCAAGAATTTGACAAAAATTTTCAGGAAGAGATATAACATCAATCTCTTCTGTGTTTTCATCTAAATTTACTAAATCTGATAACTTAGGCTCTTTATAAATTGGTTGTTGCAAAGGAATAGGAGCCATTAATCCTTCCATGTACTCGTCAAAAGAAAATGAAGTCCAATTAAGCATTTGACAAACTTCTCCAAGAGCGTCATCAGTCATCTCCATATTTTTTAATTCAAAGAATTTGTTTGATGTTGTTTCATTTATTTCTTTTATTTTAGGAGGTAGTTTTGGAAGGAAAAGACCATTACGTGACTCAATTTGAATTTTATTTTCTTTCATTTAAAATTGTTTTTGTTATTTTTAAGATTATTTGTTGTTCATTTTTGATAAAAAGTTTTAGTTATTCTAAAAATAAATATCCAAAAAAATAGATCACATATAGAATCATTTAGATGAAACGAGAAACCCTTTTTTCTTTTTCAATAATACTTGGATTAAAGATAAGACCGAGTGGATTTAAGTACTGTTTTTTGAAATGAAAAAGGAAATAAAGATTTATATGTATTGAAAGTAATTACATTTATAATAAAAATATGAAAAAAAAAATAATAAAAATAAATTTCATTTATTTTTTTTCATTTTTATTATACTAAAATAGTAATTTTTTATTATTTTAAATCTATACTAATTTCATAAAAATAGTTGAAATCACTTCATGCAACGATCCTCTTTTGCCAATTCACAAGTTCCTCAATACTCAAGAAAAACAAGCATTTCAAGAATGAGTGGTTTAACAATTGGTTCATGTAAGAATTTAGTTCTTGAAGAAAAATATAAATATTCATTATTACCATCAAGCAATTATAGTCATTGCGTTGGTTATTCTAGTTCTCCAACCCGTTTAAACTCACCACATATAACACCAACACTCCCAGATTCAGTTCCAAGTTCACCACATACTACACCCGCTTTAAGAGAACGTTCAGGAAGTGCTACGGCAAAAATATTTGAACGCAGAGAATCGTTTTTATCTAAAAAACAAAATCCACCACCAACACTTAGTTCTATGCTTCAAAAAGATTAAATTCATTAATTTCTATAACACCAAATTCTAGACTTACTTCTTATAATATTTATTTAACAAGTTATACTGACCAACTTGTTTCTAGTTGTTATTCATTATTTGATGAACCTAAAGTATATTTAAAACCCGATATTCCATATATTTCTACATTCTCTCATGAAAGAATATCATACTTTTCTGTTACAACAAGTATTGGATTAAAACAACTAATTGATGTTGAATTCCAGAATGAGTCATATGATGTTTATGTTGTAATTACTGATCTTACTGAAGAATCAGGATCATATTTAAAGTCTTTTTCTTCAAAGATGATTAAGTTTTTTGGTACACAAGCATTAAAAAAATTAATTGTTGTTTCTATGAATGATAATGGTATTGTTAATGATTTTTGTACTACTAATGAAGTTATTAAAATAACTGATGAAGGTGAATTAAAAAATACTATAATTTCAACAATTAATAAATCTAAGATGAGTTTATTGTATTCACGTCTTGATATTGTAAAAAAAATTATTATTCTTGGTGATTATTTTGTTGGTAAATCATCACTATTTAAATATCTTACTCAAGGATCTGAAGAACCAAATAAATTTTATGAAGCCTCTGTTGGTATAACTTCTAAGAGATCATTCTTTGGTGATGTAGATGTTTTTGATATGCCAGGAGATTTTAGAATGAAAGCTCAAATAAATGAAAGTAATGATGATAAAACAATAGAAGAGAGAGCAGTTGATAATACAATTAGTTATTTACATGAAAAACAAATTGGAGGAGATTTAATTATTGTTATGTATGATGTTACTCGTATAACAACTGTGACATATGCACAAAATTTAATTAAAGAAATAAAAAGAGTTTATCCATTTGCATCTATTATTGTACTTGGTAATAAATTAGATTTAGCTTATGAATATGGAATAGAACCAATTAACTGTGAATTTAATAATGTAAATGATATGATTTCATTATCATTAAATCCTATAACTAAACAAGTATCAGAAAAATTATTAAATAGAATTAAATTCTTATTACAATCTTCAACAATGGACTTCAGTAATTTTACAAAAGAATTTAATAAAGAAGGAATAGTTAAAATCATTGAAGAATATCCAAAGAATTCTAAAGGAGTTTCAAAATTGGTTCGTTTAGAAAATGCAAGAATTACTATCGGAATGTCTAAACAAAAAATTGGAACAAAACCATTTTATTTTTCAATGGATCAAACTACAACATTCGAAGAAATTGAAAAGAAAAATCGTTTTGGTTTAATTATAACATCTAAACATCAAAATATTTGTATGTTATTTAAAGAAGAATCCCAAAGAAAAGAATGGAAAACTTCATTAACAGAAAGTCTTGTTGTAATTAAAATTGGTACTTTAATTAGTAAAATTGTTATTCAAAGATTTATTCACGAAGCTTTAAATGAAATAGGAAATGAATATGATCATGACAGTGATATCGAACATTTTATTTCTTCAGTTAACTCACATCTTCCATCTAATAACTATTCATTCCCTGATCCTATTTCAAGTAATATTAATGTTACTGTTCCAAATAATCTTTTAACTTCACAAGTAACTTCTACTTCATCACCAATAGACAAAATGAAATCTCAAACACTCAAAAGATCTTCCAGACTATCTTTAATTATGTAACTCATTTATCTAAAAACAACAATGAAAATTTTATTATTTAATTTTATAAATTAAAATTATCATTCTCTAATTTTCCTTTAATATTTGGTTTCATCAAATTAAATAGAATTCACTTCAAATAGATTCTTCACTACAAATCTTACTTTTTCATATAACGATATAGTCATAGTTGTTTTGGATTGCATATATGGTTCTCCATCATATTGACATGCAATATCTTCATCAATAACTATTTCTATTACTTTTCCTTGTGCTATTCGTATTGGTTTAGCAGCTCCAGTACCACTAACACATGCCCCTAGGTGAATTGCATTTGAGAATCCTACCAATTCTAATTCACCATCATTATAATGTAAGTCATGAAATTTAAATGCCATCTCAGCAACACTTACTGGAGGCCAAAACTTATTTCCACCTCCATATGTAGGAAGATTAATAATGGCTAATCCTTCAATCTTTGGTAATTCAATTACCCTACCATCTACTTTAACATGAATTAATTTATATAATTTATTATCTGAAACAATCATTGGGGTTGAACACATAATATACTGTAACTTATTCGTAAATCTTGATGTAAACTTTTCTGGATTAGCATTTCTCTTAGTGTGAAATACAAGAGCTATTGCTGCATCAAGTCCAATTGAAAAATAATTATTGAAAATATGTATAGGACGTTCTTGTCCTTCAACACATACTTGCCATCTATCCATATCTTGTATTGAGGCATCATATACTTGAGGAAGAATAGTTCCAATGTCTTCTCCATTATATCCTCCTCCCCATCCTGTTGAGATAGACATATCATTTCCTGTACCTAATGGAATAACAAAAATTTTTGGTTTCAAATTAACCTTTTTTAATTCATCCATCACCCACCCAACTGTTCCATCTCCTCCACAAATCACTGCAACAAAATTACTACCATAATTCTTTATAAATTTAAATGGCCGTTCATACCCTTTTAATACATTATAAACTTGAGCTGGGTTAAATAGTCCAATAGCATGTTTAAATATTTCTGATCCAAAATGTCCTCCTGATTTGTTATTAATAAAGAAAATCATTGGCTCTTTCTCTTCTTCATAAAGCGCTTCATACCAATCATCTTTTTCCATTACCAACCGAGCCGGTAATATAAACTTTCTTAATCTACCCAAAAAACATGTACTTGGTAATTTTTCTATACATTTACCATCTACAGCCAATTTACACCACGCACAAATAAAATGAGCTGATGTACATGTTTCTCCACAAACCACACAACTTTTTCCCACATGATTTTTCGTAATTTGAACAAACCAGTGGATGTCTTTTTCGTCTTGAGGTGAAGATATAGGACGACAAGGCGTTTTTATTTTCTTAATACATTTTTTATGAACATTCATATTACACACCGAACATTTAAATCTATCAGAAATAAGACTTTCATGACATACAGAGCATGTATATGCAAATGTACTTCCCACTTTTCTAAAAGAATGTTGTCCATTCTTTAAATTTTTTTTACTAAACGTTGGTTCTGGAAAATCAATCGGATCTTCTTTTCCACTACATTTTAAATAAAATGTGTCTTTACACCCTTTGTGAATAACAAAACTACACTTTGTACATTTTAGTGATGGGCCTAAACATAATTGCCCACATGCAACACATAGTGAAGATACTGAAAATTCCTCTTTAAAGTCATGTTCTTCTTTAAACAACCCACTATTAGTTACATCTCTAGGTGTCAATCCACATGATTCCTTTTCAATATTTGCAACAGACATATTAGAATTTCAGTTCAGTTTTGAGCTCTCAACTTTACTTGATTTTTACCTTTTTCATCTTTTTAAAAAATTAAAAAAAGAAGATTTATTTAAAAAATAAAACTTTTTGTATGAAAAATAATTGAAAATCTTTCATTATAAAAAGTATATTTTTTTATTGAAAGTTATAATTCAAGAAATATATTTATTCTTGTTTAATAGAGTATTTAAGTAATTAATGAAATGATGGAGATTATTCATAATAAATAATGTATTAAAATAATGAATTTCAATTTGATTTCTTTTTTCATTATGGTGAATAAATTATCAATTATTTCTTGTTTATTTCATTGTATAATTCTTGAGATTCTGTTTAAACGATGAATATTAATTTGAATAATATTGTAATGTTTTATAATGTTTGAATTGAATGAAACATTAACAAATAAAAAGATAAAATGAATGAGGATATAATCAATTATTTCATCATTTCACTCATTTAAACTATCATAATCAAGTAGTTATTTATTGAAGAATGATAATATTATTAAATAATAATGTTGATTATGTTAGAAAATTTGTATCAATTTAAAAACAGTTTCATGATAAATAAGAATGAATAATAAAGAATGAGAAAGTGAAATGATGATGTATTAAATAAAAAGAAAAGAAGAATTGAATAATTTGAGAATAAAATAATAAGAAATAAAAATGGTGATAATATTTAATGAATCATATCAAAACATCTTTTTAGAAACAAATACAAAGAGAGAATAGAAATAATGATAAAGAAAATAATCAGAAAATATCATATTCTTTAATGGAATATTCAATTCAAAAGAATGAAAAATAAAATGATATTTCATGGATAAAATAAATTCATAAAATGTTCTTCAAATAAAAGAAATAAATAAAAACAAACAAAACAATATGAAATAAAAGAAATTAAACAGTTTAAAATAAATATTTTATTGATATTTCATTTTAAATATATTTTATATAATATGATTTAAAATTGAATGAATTTTATTTAAATAATGATATTTATTTAAGAATATTAATTATAAGATGATTAAATTTAATAGAAGAATTATTTAAGAAAATAGAATAATGAAATAATGAAGAATAAATAACAATGAATTAAAATAATAAATAATATTCTCAAAATAAAGAGAACAATAATGATATAAAAAATAAAAAAGTCAATAATATAATTCTAAATATTCAATTTATTAATTGAATTAATGTAATTGAATTAATTAATAAATAATGATAAAATATAAATGATAAATAATTATTTTATTTATATTAAAATTAATATGTAATTTGTTATGATAATAATTATTTATTAAATATTTCATTCATATCAATTAAATTATTCATTTTATTTTCATTAATATGTTTTATTTATAATAATAATATAAATCATTATTTATATTGAATTATGATGGTTTAATTTTGAGTTAATATGTAATTTATTTTAATAAATCAATTGAAATAAATATAATCAAAATATTATATTCTTTAACTTTTAATTTTAATTTTAAATAATATATTGTTAATGAATAATAAATAACATGAAATAAATAATAAATAATTGTGAATAAATTGAATCATTTGATGATAATGATAAGAAATAAAATAATAAAAATAGAAGAAATATAAAAAGAAAGAAACAAATATAGAAATAGAAGAAAGAGAGAAATAAATAATAAAATAGATATGAGAAAGAAGAAAAGAAGAAATAAGAAAAATATATTAAATTTCTAAATATAAAATAGAAATAAAAGAAGAAAAGAATAAAAAGAATAAAAAGAGAGAATGATATAATTACAAATACAAATATATCAAATAATTACACAACAAATGAATGATAAAATATGATAGAAGAAAACAAAAAGAATAGAAAGTAAAAATAAAAAAGAAATACATGAATTATATAATAAAAAAGAAATAAACATAAATAAAAGAAATATAAAGAAATGAAGAATAAAAAGAAATAAATATGATAAAAAATAATAAAAATAAAAGAAGAAGTGATAGAAATGTCATAACAGAAAAAAGAAGAATAGAAAAGATAAACAAAGAAATTCATTAAATTTATAAAAAATAAAATCAAAAGTAATGAAAGAAAATATATAAAATAATGAAATATATAATATTATACAATGATACAAAAAATAGAATTAATAACCAATATAAATTATCAATTATATATCAAAATAATAATAATAAAAGAATATCATATAATATAACACAATTATATTTAGTTAATGGATATGATAAAAATAAAAATAAAGAAATACATGAATAGTTGATAGAATATATAAAAAGAATATAGAAAAGAAATTAGATAATAAAAATGATAATAATAATAAAAGAATTAAAATAGATGTAAATTATTTTCAGAAACAATAAACAAAACAATAAAAAATAGAAGAAATAAAAGAAAAAGAATATAAAAGAAATAATGTGTAATAATATAATAAAGAATTAATAATAAAAATATGATTTTAACATGAAATAATATAGAAAATAGAATAAAATAATATCCAAAAAATTAAATATAAAAATAAAGAAACATATAAATCAGATATATCAAAATAAAATGTAATATTTGTTATATCAATAATATCCATTCAAAAACAAATAGAATTTAAAAAATAAAAAGTAAATAGAAGAAGTGAAACTTATAAAAAAAAAATTAATATAATTTAAAACAAAATATTTAATGAAGAAATAATATAATAAATATAAATTTATTTTAAATAACATAAATTAAATTTATGTAAAAATAGTATATTATTGAATTTTAAATGTAATAATTGGATTTAATGAATATATTAAACTAATTGAGTATGATTTATTTCTACTTCATTATTTTCTTATTGATTTCTTTGTTTTTCTTTTTATTCTCATTTTTTTGTGTTTATTCTATTCTTTCAATTTCTTTCTATCTATTTCTTTTTGATTTTTTCAATACTTCTTAAAAATTGTATTTCTATCTTTTTTGATTTTCTCTAAATGGATTTCTGTTTTTGTCTGTTATTTCAGAATGTTTTACTGTTATTTCTTGAATTTATTCATGTAATTCCTTATTTTTCTTCTCTTTCAACTCTATCTTATATCTTCTCTGGTGTCTCATCCTCTTTTTATATCCTTTCTTTTCTTGAAAATGAGAAGTAATCTTCTCATAAATATTTTCTTATATATTCTGTGGTTTATATGAACTACTTCTTCTATTTCTTCACTCTTTATCATTATTTCTTTATATATCTTTCTCTTCTGTTAACTCTTCCTTAATATTTGTTTCTAACTCTTGTTATAGTTCATCTTTTGATTTATCCTTATTTCAATCTTCTTGTCTCTTCTATTCCTTCACACTTCTTTGATTCTTCTTCATTTAGAATTCCTTCTCTAATTCTTTCTCCAAATATTTCATTTCTTTCTTCTTATCATGTCTTCTCTTGTGTCTCATTCTTCATTATGACTATTGTCTCTTCACAACATGGTCATATAGCTTGCTTTCAATAATTCTTTTTGCTAAAATACTTATGTGGTGTAGTGTTTGGAAACTCAATGTTATTATCAAAAACAAAATAAGAAAATAAGAAAAAAAAAAAAAAAGAGAATATTCTAAAACAATAAAAATAAGAAAAAAGAAAAGAAAAAAAAAATAGTATCGAAATAATAAAATAATGAAATAATTAATTTCAAAGTATATTCTACTTCTATCTACAACTTACTCTTCTTACTGTATTTGTTTTTAATAATGTGAAAATGATGACTAAAAGACAATAAGAGAATGTGAAGCATAATTTTATTTTAGGGTTTGAAAAGAATAAATAACAATAGAACTCATATAATTAAAGTAGAAAATAATAATGACACCAACAAAATTGATTATACTTGGAAGTACAGGTGATGGAAAAAGTTCACTTGGAAATTTCATCTTAAAGAAGAATATTTTCAATGAAAGTAATGATCCACAATCAGTGACCAAAGAAACAATTGGATCATATGGAGAAGGAGATAGACAAGATGTGTTTGTTATTGACACACCTGGATTACAAGATTCAGAAGGAAGAGAACGACAATATATGAATCAAATGGTTGAATATATCAAAGAACAAAAAGGACTTCAAGCAATAGTTATTGTTTTAGATATTAATCAAGATCGATTTGCACAACATATCAAAACAATGATTAAAATAATAAGGAATGTTTTTCCAATAACAGACTTTTGGAGACATGTTTGTATAGTATGGACTAAATGTTATTGTTATATTCCTAAAGAAGTTATTGAAGAAAAGAAGAGAAATAAAATAGGAAAATATCAAGAAGAACTAATGAAAGTTGTTAAAGAAACAACAGGAACAACAGAAAATATAGAATTTCCAATGTATTTTGTTGATTCAAAAGGATTACAAGGATTTGATAATACACATTCAGAAGATGAAATTGTAAAGATGTTAACATGGGTTAGATCATTAACATCAATTAATGTAGAAGAAGTGAAAAAAGGAGATCCTGTTTATCAAAGTATTACTGAAGAAAAAGATAAACAAGAAAAAGTCATTAAACAAGAAAAAAATATCAAAACAATTGAAATTCAATATTTAAGAAGAAATAAAAGAATAACATATACAGGAGAAGTTAATTATACAAATTGGGAAGTTGAAGGTACAGAAATTAAAGAAATTATTCTTCCTAAAGAACCAATAGGAACAAGAAAAGAAACAAAGAATGAAGTAAAAGAAATAGGTAGAACACCAAATTATGAACGTATTCGTGTTGGGAGAAGAAGGTATGGAGTTTGTGGACCGAAAAAAAAAATAACACAACTTGTCAATACTACTCTTCATAAAGAAGAAGAAATATTTGAAAGGACAATAACTGCGTTCAATGATGGAACAACAACAGAAGGACCATGGATTTCTATTTCTAAAAGACAATTTGATGAAATAATTTAAAATATAATTATAATCAATTATAACATCAATTCAATTTAATTATTAATAATTTAATATCAATTTGCATGACAAAAAGATATAATACCAATATCAAATAATAATAAACAATAATTAAATAACAAAGAATAAAATAATATTCAATTTCATCATATTTAATGATTTAATTTTTATTTATTTATTATTCTTATTTTGATATTAATATAAAAAGTAAATATTAAATTAAATATCATAATAATAATTAATATATCATAAAACTTACTTCAATTAGTTTAATTCAAAAATAAAATTCATTTATTTGATTTTGAATTAAAATCCTTTTTTTTAATGAAATGTATTATCTTTTTTAAGACTTTTCATCTATTTTATTCTAATCATAACTATTTCTTATTAACTCCTTCTTTTTTCCTTCTTTTCCAATATATAATTTTCTTTCATGATAATACATATTATATTTTTTATTTAATTAATCTTCTTTGTTTCTTTTTCTTTCTTCTGAAATTTCTGTGTTATCTCTAATATGTTTTTAAATATTGTCAACTCTTTCTTGTCATTATCTATTGTTACCATGAGACTTATATATGAAATCTGATCAAAATGACAACAAGTTATTTTTGAATAATTATTTGAAATAGAGGAATCCCAATAAGGAAAGATAAAAACAATATTTAACAATGATACAATGTTGTTTATGAATAAAATGATGGAAATTGGTAATTCTTTTTGAAATGTTTAAGAAAACAAGAAATAAAAGAGATAATATAAATATTAAATATAATGATGAGAGAATAGTATTATTAATAATATCAAAAGAACAATGATTCAATTAGAAAAAAGATGATTATGTAGAAATGAAATCAATATTTGTATATAAACAATATTTATTGATAGATAAAAGAAATAATATAAATATAAAAAGTAATAAAGAAAATAAGAAAAATGAATGAGAAATAAAAGAAATAGAAATTAAAACAAGAATGAAGAAAATAAAAGAAATAATAAAGAAATATAAAAGAAAAAGAAGAAAGAAAAGATATATATGATAAAGATAAAATGAATAACAAAGAAATAAAACATGGAAATAGAATACAAAAATAGAAGAAATTATAAAAGAAAAATAGATAATAAGAATATATAAGAAAGGATAAATTAAATTGAAAATCAAATAATAAAAGAAATGAAAGATATAATTAATACTTCAATTCATAATAAATTAAAATAAATATTAAATTTAATAATCAAATTAATATTAAATGATGAAAGAATGAAAAATATGAAAAATATTGAAATAAAATAGAAAATAAATATAATGAAATATATAAAAAGTATTGTAATGAATTAAATTTAATTCATTAATAATTAATCATTTTATTAATAATATATTCACATATTTATTTAATGAAATAATTATTAAAAATAAAAATAGAAAATAAAATAATAGAGAATGATATTAAAACATAAATAAAGAATGATAAGATAAATAAACAAGAATAAGATATTATTCATAAAATTCAATAAGTTATAATATCAGAATTCATTAAAATAAATAATACAAATATTTAAATAATAGATGGAATATGAACAACAAAAGTGAAATACATAGAAATATTATGTATGAATCAACATAACAAATCAATAAATAATTGAATAATTTGAACATAAACAAAATTAAATGAATCATAATAATACAAGAAATGAATAATAACACAAAATATAATGAAATCATAATTATTAATAGAAATATTAAATAAACAAATAATATATAATTTGAATATGTAATTAATATATAAATAAAATATTAAAATATCAAATAAATCATGATGATTTCATTTTATTATCAACTAAATTCATTTATAATTATACATACCAACTTGAATTAATGAATTTAATCTATTGATTAATGAAACTACATAATCAAATTTAAAGAAATATATGTAATGAAGTTGAAAATGAAATAAATAATAAATAAAATAGAGAATATAAATATTAAAAAGAAAATAGAAGAACAAATAAATAAATCTATAATATAATATTATCAAAATCAAAGAACAATAAATAAAATAAACAATAAATATTTATCTCAATATATTAAATGAAATCAAATTATAATTATTCAGTTACATCATCATTCAACAAATAATAGAATAAAATATTAAGAAAACAAAAGGAGATTTAAAGATCTTATTTTATTATATAAATCATTTTAATATTATTTTAATATTTATATTATTTCTTTTAGAATATTATCTTCACTTATTTTAAATTTGATATTATATTTGAATTATATTTTAAGATGAATATTTCTTATTGATATTAAATTATTTCATATTTATTTTTCATTTATTATAATCATATGAATTTTGTTATTTCTTTATTAAATTAATTTAAAATATGAATTTTATATATATTTAATATCTTTTATTTCATTTGTATATTATTTGTTTTCAATATTATTTATATTTATTTTCTTTGTATTATTCTTTATTTATTTTATAATTGTATCATTTATATTGTTATTTCATTTTATTATTATATTTATTTCTGATATTATTTATCATTTTTAATTTATGATGTTTTGTTTATTGAATGATATGAAATATATTAAATGTTAAATAATATGATTAATGAATAAAGAGATGAATAGATAATATAAGAAATAAATGAATAAAATAAAATAATTTGATTTGTGATTATTAGAATTTATTTATTTGTTTGTTTTAATTATTTATATTATGTTATATTCATTCAATTATTATATTAGAATGTTTATATTTTATTCTTTATCATTTTGATTATCTGAAATTATTATTTCATTTGTAATATATTTATTTGATTTATTCTTGTTTTCTATTTCTGATTATTATGTTATAATGTGAATGTTATACAATAATTATTTATTCAATTATAATAAAATTGAATGACATAAATCATAAGTATACATATGAATTATTTTTTATCATTATATTCAAATGATATTCATTTTATGAAATTCTTTTATTTTTTATTTAATTCATTCAAATCATAATTAATTATTATATGAATGAATTAATTAATTCATTTAATTGAAAATATCTTGAAATGAAATAGAATTTATTTTGTTATGAATTTATTATGAATTATTAAATATTTCTTATTAAAATAAATACATTATTCAATATATATCACATTAATTGTTTATTCATTATGTTATAAATCAATGAATTTATTTTTATTCAAACATTCAATAACTGTTAAATGTGAAGTAAATAATAATTTATTATTTCATAATTCATAACAAAAATAAATGAATAAATATAATGAAACAATGACATAATAAGATGTATTTCATGAACATAAAATAACATAATTAATTAATAATGAGAATAAGAATAAAATAAAGAATAAAATATAATAATAAAGAAGAAATAGAATGATAGAATAAATTAAATAACATACAAACAATAATATAAATAAATGTATTCAATTTAATTCAATTAATTTTATTGTAATAACCATTTCATTTGTTTATCAACTTTTTTTATTGCTTATTATTATATTTTAATTATCAAAACACTCTATTGGTATTCTTTTATTTTGTGTTAATTCTTCAACACAACCACATCCATAGAAACATGATCTCCCAAATGATGTAATTGTT